ATCATTTTAGGGAACATGATTGCAAACTTAAAAGTTCTACCCATTTTCTGAGTCCATGCACAAAGCACATAAGATCAAAGACATTCACATAAAAACAGGTGGGATTTTGATTATACAGTCAGAAACTTTTTGACACCCCTCCCCTCTCTCTTTCTCAGACACACACACAAACACACACAGAGAGAGAGAGAGAGAGAGACAGAGAGAGGGAGGGAGAGACAGAGAGAGAGAGAGAGATCACTGCAGATGCCTCTGAAGTTCCTATAATTTCAGGCTATTTTACATTATTTAACTGGGAGCACAATTATAAATTATAACAATCTTTCCCAGGAGAGATACTATTCTGTGGCAGCTGCAGTTAGATAATGTCTGTTTTCAAGTATTCTGGGTAAATAAAATGGTAGCTGCCTAGTTTATCAAGTAACTCTGCTTCTTCCTGCAGTGGTTTGGGAAAAAAAACAAAAGAAGAAAAAAAAAGAGCATTTTTTTTTTTTTAGAAACAAATGAATAATGCAACAAAAGAAAGAGGACTGCTGTATATTCTTTATATACTACTGGAACTCTCTGTCTCTTAGTAACCTTCAAGTGAGTGAAGGTGACAAGTTTTGAATCCAGGTACCTCAAAAACGCTAACTGAACAAACGTGTCCAAAAACCATTAATCCCACAAGATTGAAATTTCAAGAATCTTTAGACCAGTTGCATTGGCAAAGTTGTGGCCACTGCAATGCCACCCTGCTACCCTGCCTTTTTTTAGCAGCATCACATGATCATAATTTTCAAAGCTCCCTGCCAACTTCCCACAAGTGAAATCAATAGGGAAATTGGCAGGAGATCGCTCCTGCTCTCACTGCTTTTTTAAAAAACCAATGGTGGTTAATCTGTTCCTCTGTTTAAATAAGGGAATATCTCTGAAGCGATGATCCAAGGGGTCAGGGGTTGCCTGCTCAAATGGAAACCTGATTATAAAATGTGGGAGAGGGAATTATGCAAACTCCTACTAACTGTCAAACTAACTCTAATACAAGAGGCTTAATTTTTCTCCAATGTCTTGAGAACTTGGTCCAGGCTGGGGTTTCCAGATCTGGACTGCAAAGACCACCAGATAATCACAAAGAGATACAGACAATAACCCCCTGCTGTAGTAGGATGGTCATCCAGGTTTGGACTGCCCAGATCAGATTCATTCAGTTGCATGGACATGAGAAAGTTTCAAAAATATCTGTTGCTTGTCTATAAGGATTATTGAACCCTGGGATTTAAACCTGGACATTTAAACTTTGGTGAGTTCTGGTAAACATTAACCTCTGTTTCTTTTTCACAATTTGGAGCACTTCTGCCTAGCCACCAGCTCCCTCCTTGAAACTTCCAGAACCCATTTCCACATCAACACAAATGTCCTCCCTTCTGTTCTGGCAAAGTTGGAGAATGATTCCTGAGTTAATCAGCACTTCCTCCAGCTTCTCAAAAGAGAGAAGTGAAAAGGTTACTCTCCAAGTGTGAAACCCCTATCCTTGCCTCACCCCCACATTTGGTCTTGCAGTGAGGGAAAAAAGAAAAGAAAAAAGCCGGTCTGCTCGCAAAGAGCCTGGTAGAAGCTAGGAGACCGTGGAGCTCCAAGGATATCACAGTTGGGAGGTGGAGATTGGCCAGACATCCTGCCAATTATCGCCTGATCCACCTCCAAGACCCACTTAGCTTTAGTTCAGCTGCCAATTTGAACAATGGTTAGTTTGGCTGCCTGAGGCCAGCAGGGTTTTAATGCTGAGGCATGGTGCCAGACCAGAGCAGTCCCCATGGAGGAAGGGCCTTGGAAACGCCCATTTTTTTTCTGGATAGGTTTTGAAATTTCAAATAATCTCTCGGCCATGAATCGGGTCATTAGCAACCATTCAACATTATGACAGACAACCCCCCTCGCAAAAGCTATTTATGACCCACTTTTGAAGATCCAACATCCACCCCCCACCCACAGTCACCTGATTGCATTTTGGGTGCTTGGCAACCAGCCCACATTTACAGCTATCCTGCAACACCCCACATCACACGGCCATGACTTAGGACCATTTTGTCAGCGCTTCGAGTTTCTGGCAAAAACCACCTCAGAGTGAATATTTATGACCACTGCAAAAAGTTATAAAATCCAGTCCAATCACACGGTGCCCCACTTAACAACTGCCACTAATCGTGACAGATGCAGGTCATAACTTTAGGACTACTTGTATTGTATCACACTCACATCAGAAGTCCTGAGATGCTTCCGGATCGAAAGAATTAGCCGGTGACATCACTACTTCCCAGGGGACACCCAATTGGGGTTCTCCTTTCATGTCCCCAGCAGGAGCTGTAGCAGAAGCTCACCCCACCCCATGGCAGCACATGGCTCTCGAACGCTAACCTCCAACCCAGCATCCTCACCACAAGAGCCAGTGTGCTCCAGGACTACCTGTAAAGAGAAGCAGACTGTTGTAGTGATTCTCAAGTGCTGACCTCAGGCTTGAGAGATCCTGGTTCAAGTCCATCCTCTGCCAGGGGACAACTTTAGGCAAGTCAGTTTTGTTCCACTCAGCCTCCCTTACAGGGTTGTTGTTAAGAGGCAAAATGGGAGTAGAGATTTATATGTCACTCTTGGAAGAAAGGCAGGCTGTAAATCAAACAAATAATAAATAACTTGATTTGTTCCCGTCCCCTCTTAACCTTTGAGAATGCCTCTCCTTTTACCCCCCTCAACTTCACTCAGTGCTCATTTGTCTTCTGAGGTAACATTCTGCTATACTTCCAGTTCCTCTGCCATGCTGGATGAAACAACCAGCTTGGTTGTAAAAAGAGGGGAGGGAAAGGGTGATTGGCTAGTTAAAAAAAAAAAAAACACCCCACAGCGTTCAGCTACCTGCAGAAACTGGATTACACAATTGTTCCTGAGGTCTCCTTCTGGGAAGAGCTAACAATTTAGCCAAGGATCTTTACTGCTGTACCTCAAACTGCTATTTTGTTCTACTGGCAATAAAAAGGCTTTATCGCCATGGAAAGCTTCACATGCTCAATTTCTGTAGGACCAGTTGGCAACTCTACCCATAACAGAGCTGACAACTAATAAAGCAATAATAAAACTCTATCATAATGTAATAAATGACTCAAACATGGAGGTGCTGCCAGTAAAGCTATTCCACAGTCAGCATAAGTCATCCTAAAAATCTCAAAGTACAGCGTAATTGAGCACAACAGGCACTTTGACAAATAAAATCACAGGCTCCCGGCAGGGATTCAGCAAATTGCAGGGGCTGGTGCTTAAGCGGCAAGATTGTGGAAAAAACCTCAGGTGTTTTTCCAGGCAGCATCTGACCAGAGCTGGCTGAATGTGCAACTCTACACCTGCTGTCCTATCCAGCCCTTTGTGAGCCAAGCCACCTTTGCGATCCCTGGGAAAAGGATCACAGGCTGCAATTGAGCAGGTGGATAGGAGAAGCCACTCATCAGTGGGCCAGAATGAAGTTTTGTCCGGTTTTAATACTTGAAGCATTTGAAAAACCTGTTAGTCTTACTCTAGCTTTTGGGCTACAGTCGACTGCGATGGGGCAAACATCAAGATTATAGGGTTATTTTGTTATTGCTAAGTTGGGGTGGGAAACAGCCACAGCTGACATTTCAAGGTGGCAGAGGGCTGCAAAGAGGAACGACATCAAATATATAGACAAGGCTAGGGTTAGGGGAAGATTCTTGGAATTGTCTTAAAGGTGGTGGGTGCCTATTTTAGGGATTACAGAACAGCTGACATCTGTCTCCAAGTGGCAGGAAGGACAGCCATCAGTTTTCAGCTGTCCTGGTCCGGAGGAGCCTTACAGGCTATAGCAATGGTGGCGAATCTATGGCACACGTGCCAGAGGCGGCACTCAGAGCTCTCTCTGTGGGCACACATGCCATTGCCCCAGCCCTGCCTTCACCTGCGGCTCCCTCCTCACCAGTAGCCCCCTGGAGGAGAGTCGCCCCAAAGCGTGGACCACGTGGAGTAGCGCAGCCAAGGACATGGCAGCCAGGCAGCGGGGACAAGACTCCACCCTTGCGCCCCATCATGCGCAGTAGATGCTTCAGGGCACGGGCAGAAGGCATGGCTGCCATGGCACTGCTGGGCCACCTGGACGATCGGCGGGCCATGGAGGCAGTGAGTGGCCCTGCAGGTGGGTGGAGTGGTAGGCGGGGCAAAGCAGGCAGGACAAGGGCGGAGCAGGGGCAGGTGGGGGAGCAGGGCAGGGCTAGTTTTGGGGCACTCGGTCTCTAAAAGGTTCACCATCACTGGGCTATAGAAACAGTCTTTGGCGGGTGGTGGCCTTGAGACTGCAGATTGACCATTCTTGCTTACTGTAGCCAGATTCAGGATATAGCATAGCTTTACCCTTTACCCTTGCACCATTCCAGAGGTGTTTTTCCCCCATGGTATTTTACACTTATCTTCATTTTCTTATTTATCATAACAATTGCGCGGAAAGAACTAATAAGACAGACTCAGTAGGTGACAAAAATGCCAAATCCAGTCTAAACATCTGGCAGACTGGATAACCAACCCTAATAATAATAGAAATATATGAAAACTACAAAAAAAATACAGCTACCTAAGTTAATCAGCAAACTCTCCAGCAAGACTGAATCTTAGCAATGTTGCTTAATGATAATCAGTGGGATGGGTGGTCCAGCACACATTGAAGTGCACCAGGTAATGCAGAGAGATACACGAAGGGAAGTGCAGTAGTTGGAGTTAGCCATCTCAGGCACTCCTTGAGACACACATGGGAACAGCCTCTGTCTGTACTATTACAACAAGTGCGCTGCACATCGGTCTAGAAACCAAGAAATTGTGATAAATAAATTCAGGGAGACAGTGAAAAGGTATTTCCATTGCAAAAATAACCCAGAGTTCTAGGATTTGGTGTGTTGGCTTTACCTTATTGGTTTTGACTTATTGTTTTTCCTGTCTCTTCTTTCTCGGTCCCTATTTTTTCCCCCTAGAAATTGATGAAGACCGGATCCCCAACCCGCTTCTAAAGGTATATAACACCTCTGCTGTTCTCAGACTTGAACAACGGAGTCAATTTATGCATTTAGCAGAATAATATTGTGATACACGAAAGTCTTTTGGGATGATGATGGGGGAACAGAGTTCGTGTATGAACGTATACACTTCCCATAAAAAAATGCTTACTAAGAACTGAAAGTGAAAGAAGAAATTTCAGAATGCCAGGAAGACCAAAGCATGAACTAGTTCCTAGAATGCCATACACAGAGCCTTCATTAGACTGGGATGAGTTTTACTGTCGTTGCTCTAATTAATAAACTTTAATAATGGAAAAAGTTTCCATCAAGTAGTTTTAGGGCTACTTGAAGTCTCCAGATAAACACTAGCTGGCAGCAAAGAAGTACAAGAAATCTAGCTCTTTGTTGCCCTCTTGTGGTTGTCTAGATTCTCCCAGCCCTGATCTTGGAGCCTCAATTGTATTTCTGCGATGATCTGCATTTCTGATTCTGAAGGTATGGGAGGCCAAACCAGACAAAAACTTTATGTTCTTCACCCTATGTTTTCCCCCATTGCTCCATGGGAATGGGGAGAATTATAGACCTCTGCAGGTCATAAATTTGAAAAAAAAAGAGAAGGCAAGCGAAGAGGCTTGGGCTGGTTCTACCTAGTTTGTCAAACCAAAAACATGAGCCCAGAAAATGGTAGCCTTCTATGCACCAGATGATAATGTGTCCATCACAAAGAAGAAGCTGGAATTCCAGATCTTCAAGGACTTTCTTGATTTATTCTTGTTTCATTCTGTAAGTAGCAAGAGCAGCATATAGCTAGAAGATTATACATTGCACCCGAATTTCAGCATTTTAAATCTCTTAAGACTTTCTTTCTCTTTCTTCTCTTTGCAGCCAGGATTGTCAATGTCCCCAAGGCAGAGGAAGAAAGTCTCTCGCACTACTCCCACCATGAAAGGTAACTGGTCTAGAAGCCATGTGGCTGTATTGAAGGATGGAATCCATCGTGGCAACTACAATGCCTAGGAAGCAGCCAGCAATGTAGTTGGCTGCTTTCTAACCCTCAGAAGGGCTCACTGTTAGATCCAGCAGTTTCTTTGCCCCTCTTGAGATGAAAGGGAGGGGGGGGGTAAGTTTGGAAAGTTTGTCCCACAAGGTGATGCACTTTGGGTTTTCTTCCCACTGTAAATGAGACACACTCAGCTTTCTTGTGTGCCCAAATCACAATCTGACCTCATCCCAATCCCTTATCCTGTTCTCCAAACATGAAGTGATGGTGAGGTGAGTAGTCAGTCAAATGCTTGCCAGCTCTCTCTGTAGAATAGAGCTTGAAATAATATCTTGTTGCTAAAATGGAAGGTCCCACAGGCTGGTTGTGGGTTTTTGGAAGAATATACCTATCTTCTTTCTTGCTATGTGTGCTATAGCAGACATTGCATCCTGTGATACTCATTAAAAGAGCATAAGATTTCTTTCTGGATAAATGTCACCACCTTGTGTATAATATAATCCCCATTAGGTTGCAGTATTCAGAACTTGTCAGTCAGTGCTAAGATTCCTTTAGCCTTTCCATGGTTTCTAAGTTCTTTCCTCCTCCTCTTCCCCACTCCCACCCCTGTTGCCTCTCCCCCCACCTCCCTGTAGCTTTTCATACATCCTGCCTAATCCCTGCCAGGATCATTTTTCATTAATTTTGCATTAAAGCATTTTATCTCTTTGTATTGGTCCTCTGTATTCTCTCCAATTACCAACCTTGGTCTTTGCCTCTAAAGTGTTGCAGTGCCTCACATAATGCAGGATGCCACTGTCAGGCTGGGATGGGACTGCAGCAGCCACTGCAGAGGAGCGCAGAGATCAGCATTAAAAACCTATCAGAAGTTTCTAAATTAGAACATGTGAATTCAAGAAAAGGGGAAATTTCACAGTCCAGGAAATAGATACAAGAATTACCATTGACCTTCAAGTTTCAAGGTCAACTAGTGAATGCCTATTAGGGATATTATTAGTCCGAAGCCTAGGTAATAGGACTCTGGAGAGGAGCAAAGAGTTTCTTACAATAAAATAATCCTCTCCTAGTGATGCATTCCACCTATAGTGGTTTCCACATCATTGTCTTCGGAAACCGGTTTACCACAAGTGTGGCCCAATTTCCCAAATTCTCTGGCCATTAAAAGTATTTGTGAAGCCAAAGTTCACATATCCCAATATCTAAGTGACTGCCACAAAGAAGGGGGATCAATCAATTCTCCAAAGGGTCTGAAAGCAGAACAAAAAGCAATGGATGGAAACTAATCAAGGAGAGAAGCAACCTAGAACTAAGGAGAAACTTCCTGACAGCGGGAACAATTAATCAGTGGAATTGTTTGCCTCTAGAACAGTGGTTCTCAACCTTTTTAATACTGCGACTCCCAACCGGTCGTAAGTCGAGGACTTTCCCTGCCCGGGAGCGCTGCGCATGTGTGGTGCCGCCCCCTGCACCGGCCGAAGCATAGCAGAATGGGACTTTTGGCCGGCTCAGCAGGGCAGAGACAGCCTGGACAATTCCTATTGGCTTTTGAAAGCCAATAGAATTAGACTCTATTCAAGAGAGTCTATTCTATTGGCTTTCAAAAGCCAATAGAATAAAAGGGAGTAGCACAGCTAAGGAAAAGGGGGAAAAAATGGCAGACTGCGTTGTTTGGCGACCCCCGTGAAATGGTCGTTCGACCCCAAATGGGGTCCTAACCCACAGGTTGAGAACCGCTGCTCTAGAAGTTGTGGGTGCTCCAACACTGGACGTTTCTAAGAAGAGGTTGGACAAACATTTATTTGAAATGGTATAAGGTTTCCTGCTCGAACGGCGGGTTGGACTAGAAGATTTCCAAGGTGCCTTTCAACTCTGTTATTCTGTTAAAACTGCAGGCCGCTTAAACTGTGTAAGACTAACCAGGAGACATGTTCCTTAATGCATGAGAACAACTTGCTGTTTCCAGCAGAGACTTTAAAAAGGGAAACATTTCCATAAGAATCAGTTCATCCCAAGATCACAGTTTTCATGAGTTCTGCCCATCCCTACTTTTCAGAGCTCCAGCTGATGGTTGAACACCATCTTTGCAAGCAGCAGGGAGATGAAGAAGAAGAAGACGGCGCTGAGGCACAGGAGTCACACAGTCCAAGTTGCTGCCCTCATGCCAGCACGGAACCTGCCCACAGTCCCGAGAGTTGCCCTTTGGCCCAAGCCCACATCCAGCTGGAGTCCCAGGAAGAACCATACTCTGGCCTTGAAGAACGTGAGTATGATCCTATCAGTGTAGGGCAAGCCAGGCTTCCTTGGAGCATCTCACTTGTACCCACTTCCAATGAAGAAGGAAGCCTGTCTAGATTGCTTCAAGACTTGACCCCCCACCTGACCACATGTGTGCTTTCTTCAAAGAAAATGATAGTCCAAACCTAATCAGGAACCTGAAGCTCTCCAGATCTTACTGGATCACAGTTCCTAACAGGCCTGGCCTGTGTGGAGACATCTGAGAGCCACAGATTCTCTACTTCTACCAAAATGTAGAAAAAGATTCCCTTAAATTCATCTTTCTTTCATGACGGAAGTTCATTTTCCATGGAACAGGAAAATACTTAATAAAACAGTCCCTGAAACATGCTGCTTTTGGAATATATATATATATATTTCTTTATCCAATACATTCTCTTTTCATTAATATCCTAACCTTATAAGGCCCTCCCCAAGCCATCAGCTCTGGGGAGGGAGGATCAGGATCCCAAGTTCAAGCTTTGATTTTTTTCCCCCCCCAGAAACAAAGGATCATGATTGAGAGCAGTAACAAAAAAAAATGGACTCAGCAACACCAACGGGACAATAAGAATGCAGAGCAGGATTTGATCTGGGCTAATTTCATGCCCTAATCCGTGCCACCCAGGCTGACGCACACATTAGACCAAACACATTCTTCAGAATTTGCACTTTTTTGAATATTGTCCTGCCCATTTTGACTCAAAGGAGAAAATGCTCTTCAAAGCTGTACCTATTTCAAAGGAAATGAAAGCTGTGCTAGATTTTTAAATGCATATGTACGTGACTGTGCTTGTATATGGTGCATATTTGTGTGTCTAAATAGAGATTTTATGCACATTTTTAAAAATTGCCAATCCAAGGCAGGACACACTAGAACCATTATATACATGGCAAGTTAGCGCAGGCCCAGAAAATAATTGATCTGTCCCAAACTCATTCTAGGAGGCCGCAGTATTCAGATTTCTTCAATTTCCAGTGGTGACCTAAATTATTATATGTCCTTTCTCCCCTCAAATTGAAGAGGAACAGCTGAGAAATAGGTCTTTCCTTCCTGTAGAATCCAACTCTGTCATTCAAGAAATGTGAACTTAGCTCTCCATATTGACACAATTCTACAATAAGGATTTGTGGGTTCCAACTTGATCTTCTGGCTTCTTTCCCTAATGTCCAGGCAGGTGTTGTTGCTGCGCATTGTAGCTTAGCAGCCTGGGAGAGCCACAAGTTCTCCATCACCAATATAAGCCAGTGTTTCATCAAGATGCATGTTAAAAGTGTTGCTGCAGATTCCTTTGATCAACTCTGCAGGTGGCAGAGCACAAAATCCTGCTATTTTTGCTTAATAAGTCAGGGAAACAGCAGCCGCTACTGGCCAAAGGCTAATGCAATAACTAGGTTGTTTTTGGCTATACATTTGTGGGTAAATTCAAGCTATTCTAAGCTTATCCATCGCCCCAGGTGTTTGCCCCCAAGAGGGGAAGATTTTGATCCATTGCTATCCCAATAAATAATGCATTAAGAATTTTTTTTAAAAAATCAGCCTGGAATCCCTTACCAAATTCTCACAGCATGGGATTGCTTTATGATGTGGTGTCCCTGGATGATGAGCATCAAACAATCATAGCAGCAGCAATAGCAATAGCATACCAATAGCTTCTAGATTTATATACCAACCCACAGTGCTTTGGGTGGTTTACAATGTAAGCATTATTTGCATATTGTCTCCAACAATCTGGGTCCTCTTTGTATCAACCTTTGAAGGATGGAAGGCTGAGCCAACCTTGAGCTCCATCAGGATCAAACTCCAGACTATGGGCAGAGTTTGCCTGCAATACTGCACTTTAGCCACTGCACCACCAGAGCAGCACATCCTTTGACCTTTCAAAGGGGAAAGAAGTTGAAGTTCAGGGAGAAATATGAGTCACTGAAAGAATACAGTCTGGGCTTATCCAGTCATAGAGGCAGGCTAAGTAACTTTCTGGTGCATCGGTAACCTAGGGGTGTCTATGCCCCAGCTATTCATGCATCTTGTAAGAGACCCACATCTTTGAAGAAAGCACATCATTGGCGGAAAGTCAGCAGTTTGCAGACACTCAATACTTTCTTGCATTTCACAGGATGTAATTAGGCGCCACTGTATTTCTTTCAGTCACCCACAATTCATATATAGAATTGCACCCACTCAAACAAAAAGAATTGATCGGGGTGTGTGATCATTTGACTTTTTGAAATGATTAAATGGATTTTCAGCACTGAAGAGCAGTATGTGCATGAGAAAAGGAGAGAGTATGTTTATTTTATTCATTCATTCATTAGGGCTTGCATTTGTGTTCTCATTTTCTCCAGGAAATATATATGGCACTTCCTTCCCATTCAGTTTTATTGTCAAAAATGACCCTGTGAGGTGGATTAGTCATTAAATGGGATTCATGACTAAGTGGGCATTTGAGTCTGGATCCATCCAGCATTTTGATCACACCAGATTGATGCAATGTCATTACAATGGATGAGTAGGTGGGTGAGTAGGTTGCTGTGCATACTGAGGCAAATGCATTTTTCCTGTAGTCTATGCGTCTTGCCTCTGCACTTCCAGATAAATCGAAAACTTTTTTTTTAAATGTCCCTTTGAATTAGTCTTGACTCCTGGTCAGTGCCTGGACAGGTCTCTGCAGTTTTCTCACCAGGTTTTTCAAACTTCGTTTGCCCTTGCCTGCTTTCCAGGGCTGAGAGGGAGTGACTGGCCCAAGGTCACCCAGCTGGCTTCATGTCTAAGGCAGGACTAGAACTTACAGTCTTTCGGTTTCTAGCCTGGTGCCTTAACCGCTACACTAAGCTGGCTCTCTTCAAAGGCTTAGGCAGACCATTTTAATTTAGAACTCAACAAATTCTGGATGACTGAATTGCAAATGAAGAGACTTTAAGGAATGGTAGGAAAGATTGATTTTTTTTTACACTGCCATGTGGATGAATGAGCAACATGGGAAATCTAATTGATATGAATGATGGTTGCCAAAAAATGAAGCAGAAAGATTTAATCTAGATTAAAAAGCCTGCAGCACAATCTGTACAAATCCATTATAAGGTCACAAATGCAAATAAGAAAGTAGTAATCATGTTGATTCTTATAATTTAATGGGATAGCATTCTGCAGTTAGGCTATGACACATAAGGCAGAGAGTGTAAAATGTTGATTTGCTTGAAGCAGGAAAAAAATTGGGCTGGCTCTGCAGAACACAATCAGAAACTGTTGGCTGCATACAGTAAAAGAAAACACAAAAATAAAGTCTCCTATAAAGATTAGCACATTGCTTTTTTGCAATAGAATGAAAGAAATTCAGAGATGTTGCCATTCAGCTAAAAATAAAAAGACTGGCATTTGTGCCTTATGGTGTTGCTTGCAGAGCAACTCCAGGAAATAAGTGGAGAGATTTACTGCAGATACCTTAATAGTTGCACCTTGTCTATCACTACCTTTCTTACTTTTCCTCTCCCTCTTAGCATGGTTTTTTTAAAAAAACCCTCCTAGTCCAGCTTTCCCATAGCTTCTAGGTCTATTGTCCATTACTCGTTCCTCTGATCCAGATCAGTGCACTCTTTTTTATTCAGAGCTCCAAGCTTTATACATCATCCTTTCATCTACAGCTCCTATCCCAAATTTTCACAAACAGAAAGCAAGCTGCATGGCTTTCCCAAAACAAATCACGACAATTTTCCTTCAAAGTAGTTTCACTCATATGGGGGCATCCATAGGTGGACTTCCCCCTTCTGAGACTAGAATGTTTGTGAGGATTCTCCTGCAAGTCTAACCTGGCATATTCTCTCTTCCAACACTGATTGGCATAAATACCAATGAAGGAGAATATTTGTAGCTCAGGGTTGAAATGAGGGGTCCTTGGTGTTCTCTGAGCTTGCTTGTTTTCTTGCAGACATTTCATTACCCTAACTAAGTAATGTCATCAGTGCTCAGCAAGCAAGCTCAGAGAGCACCAAGGACATAGATACAAGTTGGATTGGGAGGAAGATGATGGGCAGGGCTGATGAGGGGTCCTGAAGAGCTCTCACTTGTTCTTCAGGTCCCACTGCTAATCCCAGAGAACTGTCAGGGAAAAGCGACACCTGCAGCAGTACCTAAGGAGAAGTAGTTTTAAGAAAAGGGCTAATTAAAAAAACAGCTCGTAGAACAAGGAGCCCAGACGGAAAGAAGGCAAGCAATTTTACAGCTTACGTACTCTTAGCAAGATTTTCTGTTGCACTGGCACAGGCGCAAGAGAGGCACAAAATGGGAAGGTCCTCAATAGTATTTCTCAAATACTATTAATGGTATAAAAATACAAGCTGCAGCCATTTATGTTCTTGCTTACAGAAACATGTCTTAGTTTTTTGTTTTCTTTCCCCAAACTGATTGGCACCGTTGCTACTTTGGCACAGGAGTCCTGATACAAGCATAAAAACTCTCTCACTGGTATTTGCAGCCAGCAAAAATGCAAAGTCATCCCCAAAGCAGGTATACTTAAAGAACATTTAGCTTGAATTCCTCCCCCAACTCTTCCCTCTGTTTCTTTTCCCCACCCAAGGATTTGGTAAACTAGGAAGGAACAGAGAGGTCCTTTATAAATTGCAGCTCTGCAGCTGATAGGCGGAAAGACGCACAAATGAGGGTATAAATGCTTAGGCTGAAATATAATTATCACCACCAGTACTACTAGTATACTAGTACTATACATATCTACAAAGAAAGAAACAAAGCTCAGATCAAAAACTTTATTCTAAAAAGTGACTCTTTTCACGCACAATTTAATTTAAAAAAAAAAAAACATCAGTTTTACTCTCTGCTCTTTCTTTTCAAAGTTGGAAAGCTCTACGCAACTGAAGCATTTCTTCCTAAAGAAACCGTAATACTGAATTATTTGGAACTCTGATCTCTCTGCTGAGTATGGGAAGTCAATTATTCTGCTAATGTATACAGACTTATCTGTTGTAAGCCACCTTTGTTCTGAAAGGCAGCATCTAGATCAGCGGCTCCCAACCTTTTCTATACCCCACACCCCTAGAACGCTTCTGATATATTCTCGCACCCCTTACAAAAGTTCGAAATAATGGCAACAAATTACGCGTATACACTATAATTTTGAAAACCCAAGTTTTTGCACCCCCTGGAATATGGTCTCGCACCCCCAGGGGGTGCAAGCACCCCTGGTTGGGAACCACTGATCTAGATACTTTTAATATATAATGTTACACGGTAGATTCAATTAGCAGCACGAGGATGCTTTTCTGATTTGTTCTCTTAGCATTTGCACTCTTGAAATGCTCCCAGATTCTTCTCCTTGCTCTTTTTGGGGGGAAGGGGGCAGCCTCACAAAGGTGCACACGCCTGAAATTGCCTCGGCCCATTGACATAAATGAAGAGAGTGCATCCCGCTTAAAGTCTGAGCATCTCTGAGCTGGTGTGGATTGATTTCTTGGGTTTATTTCCAGTTACTTGTAGGGCTGCCTCCTCAATCAATTTAGGGATGAGGGTTGATGGTCACGGCCCACTAGTGACAGGTTTTAATTGCTGTCTACCCAATCCCCTTTCAACAGCTACAAGCCTTCTGGAATCCATCTATACATACCTACCCAGGATGTTATGCATAACAATGCCTGCTTATTAACAGTACATCTCATTTGGCATTTCTTTTCTTAGTGACCTAGTTTTGGAGAGATTCCCCAGGAACTCCTGTCTTGACAGCCTTCTGGTCTTGTCTTGTTTTGTCTTGTCTTATGTTTTTTTTCTTCTTTGAATTTTATATCCTTTCGTGTTATCTATCAAGATTGCCATTTTCCGGTTTCTCCCCTTCTCCTGATCCCTTGCAAATGAAAGAAAAATCCCTCCCCACCCACCCTTTTCTGCTGATCTCCCCATGGATATTTTGGAGCAATTTTTTTTATTTTGAACAGAGGGAAGAGTCACAGAAGCTTGCGGTGCAGAGAGCTCTGACAAAACGAGGTCTTACTTGTGCTCAGAAAAGCAAGGGATTCATATATCACTGGAGAACTCTGTGGAAAAGGACAAGCTGCCCAAGGAGTAGGTATAACCACCTTTCAGGGTGGAGTGGGTGAGGGTGGTTACATTCAGACATTTTACTAAACTAGGAGTAGGCAACCTTGGCTCTTTTATGACTCGTGGACTTCAACTCCCAGAATTCCTGAGCCAGCTGGCTCAGGAATTCTGGGAGTTGAAATCCACGAGTCATAAAAGAGCCAAGGTTGCCTACCCCTGCACTAAACTATACTTGGGGTTTTTTGTTGAACAAACTATTCTACATGAACAAAATAATTGCAAGTTGATTTGCCAAACTCTGAGGAACGGGACATCCCTAACTCTTGACTTGATCATGGAGAAAATCCATGTGGTGGCCAAGAGTCAAAAATTACTTCATGGCATGAAATCACATAATTAATAATCAATCAGTCTTGACTTGTATCTCTGATTAGAGATACAGGACACAAAAGCAAGCAGGAATAAGCCAGGGAATGACAAACAAAGCATTCTCATGTACATATCCCACAAAGCCAAAGTGTCATGTAGTAAGCCAACAAGAGTTCAGTCTGGAACTGTGGTTTACTATCTTAAAACTAACCATAGTTTAGTTATTGACCATCTTCCCTGATTCACCCAGCACATTCAATTAAAAACAAAATGCATAATGGCTTAATTCAGCCTTAATTCCGAATTGAATGGGCCAAAAAGAAAGTATTTGGTCTTTTCTAAAATTATTCTACCTATTTTCCCAACGTGTTTCTTGAATCCTTGAAAATAGCAGCCCTTTTGTCTTTCGAGATGAAAATAGGCTGAGCATCTTATTCCACAGAAACACAGAGACAAAAATCCCACTTTGAGAAAATTCACCTTTTTAGTGCCGACTCGTGACTGTGGCTTCTCAGATATTTGGTGACTCCTGCGGGTTCTTTTTGAGCTAAACCTCCCTACTTTCTTTGATTCCAGCCAATGACAACCTCCTACCATGTTTAGCTATTCAAATTGGTCTTCATCTATTATTATTTTTGGGGGGGAGGGAAGTCATCTTAAAATGATGGGATGGACTGTTCATTGCTGTACAGATTCTTTGCACAAAGCAATTTCTCTTTGCTTAGTATATCAATCCTCTTCCTGCCCCAGATAGTACCGGCTTTAGCAATAGCAGCACCCATTTACTCAGGTGGAGGAGTAAAATCCATTCACTTTGCAATCTAGTACCAGTAATTCATGATGTTAACTTCTGAACCTGGCATGCTCATGAGAACAAAAGTTTTGACAGACTCCTTGGCACCCACAGCAGGGAAAGTCTGTATGATGGCTAATGGGGAGTGATAATTATATTGCAATCATGTTAGGATCGGATAGCCTCTCTCTTATCTTACAGTGACTGACTACATCTTACAGCAATAAATGAATATAACAGAGCTTAAAGAAATAGAAAATATTTCCCTCCCGGCAATCAGTCACTTTTCTTGGAAAATTGTTAATCTACCAACCTCCCAGTTTCACACTCTCCCCTTCAACAAACTTTTGCTGGCTCTATAATGCTTCAGTTTATGCTTTCATAGGTTGGGCAACCAGCAGTGTGACAAAATTGTGTTCAGTCATGCACAAAGGAGTCAAGACCATAGGGCAAAACCCCACCAAGATAAGTTCTTGATACATTTTCAGAAATCGAGTTGCAAAAATGGTCCCCGCGATTGAATAAGTCCAACATTGTGTCTTAGTGGGCAGTGAGTTGAATTGAAACAGTCCTGGCTCTTCATAATAATTACAGTATTATCTCCTGCTTGTTACTTCTAAACTAGCACTGGAGACACCAGGGCTTCTGCCTTCCTTGGATGCAGGGTGAGGAAACTGACATCTGCAAGCTTGGAAAGAATAAAATCCTGAACTTGCTATGTGTCAGCCAGCAAAAGACGCATCCCTTTCCTTTGGGGAACACCCATGATTGTGGCAGTCAATTCTCCTTTCAGCTTGGATTAGTTCAGCTCCAATCAAGCCAGTGAAAGAGAACATCCTGTTGCTGGGCTCAGAGCTGAGCCTAATCCGAACTGAAACTTGCTTATTTCTCAAATGCAGGGAGGGGGTTAGAGAAGCGGGCTTCATGGGAGGCCTTTCATGGGGCCCTTCCAACCTGATACCCAACCTAAGCTGCATACATCTCATAAAACTCTCCCCAAATCCTTGGGAACAGCAATAAAGCTGGCTCCAAGATGCCAGTGAAATTCAGGGCAACCCTCTGACCTCTTGAGGCAGGAGTCTTCAAACCTGGCCCTTTTATGACTTGTGGACTTCAACTCCCAGAATTCCTCAGCCAGCTGTGCTGAATTCTGGGAGTTGAAGTCCACAAGTCATAAAAGGGCCGAGTTTGAAGACCCCTGCCTTGAGGGAAAGGAACAAGAGATGGCAGTCTTATTGGATACACCTTAGATCAGGGGTGACAAACTCAATTTCATTGAGGGCCACATCAGGGGGGCGGGTGTGTGTGGTCAGGGTGGGTACGGCCTACTGGGTGGGCATGGTTGGAGTGGGTGTGGTCTACTGGATGGGCATGGCCAGCTCTACATCGTTCGTGTCAAGGGTGCCTGTGGGGGCCTGGGCAGGAGTGGGACAGATCTGAGGGTCTCTGGCAGAAAGGGGTGGGACCAGGGCAGAGCCCATCAAGCTGGATATGTGAAGTAGGTGAGGGCCATTTGCTGGCCACTTCCAGGCAATGGTGCATTTCTTCATTCCTAACAAAGGGTGACACCTTCCCTGCATGAACCCAGAGGGTGGGGCCGATGCGGCAGGGGCTGGTTCCTCACTGTTTCCAGACCGCCTTTGGAGCTAAGACTGAATGCATTTCAGCATAGATGGCCACCACAAAATTGTACATTGGCTCCCAGCCCGCCTGGGCCAGGCCCAAGGCAGCGGGAGCCATTCCCTCAGTTTCCAGGATGGCTTCGCGGGCCACATGAAACCACTTTTCGGGCCACATCCGGCCCCCAGGCCTTGTGTTTGACATGTCTGCCTTAGATATAATCAATGGGTTCCTCTCTGAGGAAGGGGATTGATTCATCCCTCTAGGCAGCAATTGACAATTTTATATACACGTAAGGTTGACTATTGAGAGTGGGTCAGTGGAGAGGGTGGGCTGCAAGCAGAAGAAGAGTTTCCTCCCCATACCTGTTTGTTGGAGCAGCGGGAGCTTCTACCTGTTTGCTGTCCATCCAGCCATCCTTTCCGTTTGGCATTCTACCAATGGGGGAACAGATTCTATGCAGATTGCACAAGCCAAGGGAGACTTTGGTCATACTTTTTAGTCAACCCAGGGAACAAGCAGAAGTCTACCTAACAACATGGGGCTTGGTTTGGAATGTGTCATCCTGAAAATGCCCCCTCCCTTTTCAGTAAATTTCCATGGTTTTGTTGCAAAGTGTGTGTCTGTAATTTTTTCTCTCTCTTTTGTTGTCATTTCCTCTATAGGTGATTCTCTGCTGGAGGCACAGAGTTACAGCTGGACACAAGGCTCATGCATACCTGAGAAATATCACACAGTCCTTCCTTCCTTCCTTCCTTCCTTCCTTCCTTCCTTCCTTCCTTCCTTCCTTCCTTCCTTCCTTCCTTCCCTTTTTTTAAACAATTGTGTTTTTTTTAAAGATTTCAATAACTTGGTCATATATCTGTAATGGTCCCATCTTATTTTTTTAAGTGAAAAACCACTTTCACCCTTTTGGGTTTTGTGGTCAGACAGTGGTAGGGATTTGGCTTAGAGCACTAAGCAGATTTTAATCAGAGATGGAAAAGCCTCTGCACTCGGCCCTGAGTGGTGGCCTAGATCTCCCAAGCAGCAGCTGTGAGGCTGATAAAGGCCTTCAGGCAATTATCTGCCTGGTTGGATTGTGATCTCTGTCACTCCCAGCCACGCTGGACAGAGGTAATGAGAATAGTAATCTAGCATATGTGAAGGCAGACAAGCTGGGAAAATGAGCCTAAGCCTAAAGCTAGACTACTGTAGATTCCAAGGGTGAGGCCTTGATTGAATTTCCTGCTGTGCATTCCCCTGCCTTTGGTCCACTCTTGTTACGTGTGAAAAAAGAAACAGGAATTCTACCTCCTGGTGTGCCACTCTTTGTGTTGTTACGTAGACAATCATTAGATTTCCTTGCCAACATGATATAGTTTACCTATTCTCCCCTCTGCTGTTGAATAGAACTGAGTAATATTTTACTCCTTTGGCCAGTTTTTTCTGTCCAAAGCTGTCGCCCTCCAAAGTTGCTTGAGGTTTCATCTCCCCAGGTTTGCAGTCTATGTGACCAAAAATCTGGTCAGAGGAAGGTTTCTTTAGACCTTGTTTTCTACACTGTATGATATTTTGATAGCTGTCTACTGTTTCCTGAACCTTGTATTTGCTTTCTGCTCTAGCATAACTTTTATGTATGCTGGGGCCTCTTATAGCTCCCTCCGAGCATGCATCGCAAGGCAGCAAGGATGCATATAGCAGATTTAGGGTGATAACAAGATGGACTGCATGCTCGTAAGCACAAGACCTTGTGCAGCTGTGCTTCGCACCACACTTTTCCTCTGATCCAATGAAGAGACAACGTGATTCTTGTCATGGCACTGTGCCTCACCTCAAAGCCTCATCTGGCCACTCCAACAGCTGGAAGATAAGTAGAAGAGTCTGGGAGTTTCCACATGTGTGTGTTCATGTGGGCAGAATACACTTCTGGCTCCTGGAACTGTCAGCAAAGCAATGGGAAGCAAAGGATTTGGAGATGGGACACATTGCTTCGGGGTGCATGGTGTAAAACCTTCGTTGAAAAGAGCCAAGCCCACCTGGGAAGCTCTCAATATGGCCCCAGTATACTCTCAAGTGGGACACCCAGTTACCAACCTGGACCTGAATAAGAGAATTTCCTCTTCTTGAGTTGTGGGGCAGGGCCCCTTTAGCTGTCTTCAGGCCCATTTCTTGGTTCCAGTTCTATTCTGCTGAATCCTGCCTCCTTATTGGTTAAGGAAAACTGGGCAGCTGTGGTCCTTTCTGAAGCCTCTCCATTCCCCTTCTAGTGGAGGTACACCCAACAGTACCATCCAGCAGTGCCTTCCGAGAACAAACCAGCATTTCTGCTGTCACACCTACAGGCCTCTGTTGCACGTATGTGCAAAAACCCTCCCAAGAGTTGCCATGCAAGTATTACAAGATCATGAGTGCTGGGATACATTTTTAAAAAAAAAAAAAAAATGATAAGGAGTGTTTGCAATAGCTGCTCATTTTCCCCTTCTCGTTTTAGATGTACGACCAGTGTTTTAAACTTTTAAAAGTGAAAAACCAGCAGCCCTTCCAATGATGTTGAACTACACTTTGCAGCCTCTCTTCCCCTTTGATTGGGCTGCTAGAAATGGAAGTTTGACAGCATCGGAAGGCCCACCTAATCCATTCAATATGAAATACATTCAAGGCTGTCATGTCTTAATAAAGGAACTAGTTGAACATAGCCTAGATGAGAAATAGACTACATGTAGTTGGTTGATGGTGTTTGGGGAGGGGGCTTTTCTTATATTATTGTTCGCAAAATAATCCCATCCCGGATGATGAGGTGGCTGCAATCAGGAACCATGTGAAAGTTCCAAGCAAACTGCCTGCTTGGGAGTGTCCTTAGTCCTACATTGCTGTATCTCTGAATTGGTTTTACGTATCTGGACTACAATGCTGGACTCTGCCTCCTGACTCCGCCACCTGTGAATCCTGCTTCTTTATTAAATGAGTCATCTTTGCTTGCTTTGCGAGTCCTTAATTGCTGGCTTTGCCAATGTGTTTTGTGTAATGTTTAAAACCACATGGACACAGTCATTCGGCATCAACATTCAGAATACATTTAATAACCCTTTCTCTTGACTTACAAGATGGGGCCTTGGTCCCAAACATTGATACTACTGATTCTGCCCTGATTATAAATCCTTCTGTGATCAGAAGATTCCCTACAAAGAGCATACACTTCCAAGAGGAAGCTTATGCTAAACTCGGGCTGCGAGAAATGAAAAACGTGCAACAAAAAGCATTTGAAAGCTCCATCTGAGGGAATCTATCTAGTGATCATTGTCCAGAGTTGTCTGCTCATGATTCCCCTATTTTATATGCAGCTATTGGAAATACAAAATTCCTTATTGCCATCTTGAAGCTCAACAAGTCCATATAGCAGCTGTCTCCTGAATGATTTCAAACGTTGTTTAGCATTCTCCATTGATTTGGTCGTACAAGTCCAAGATCAGCTGAGTATACTTTCCTGTAAAAGAAATCTACATATTCAGTGCATTTTCAAATGCTTCCTGAAAAACACATAGGATTAGGCTATAAAAGCTATAAGGGCAGAGTTGGGTGTGGTGTTCTGGATCATGGAACAGGAAGAGGGTGAGAAGACTTCACTTTTTCAAGGCAATATAATTAATACAGCCCTCTCCTTTACTCTCAGATAAAGCAGGGTGAAGTCACCCAATGGCTTCTAGAAAGATCTAAACCTGGGTAATCACAGTTGCAGGTCACATATTGCTGAACTTTCAACTTATATCTCTGATTATGATGGGTGGGACAGATGGGACTTGTAGTATCTGGATGGTCAGCAATTACACACACACACACACACACACACACACACACACACACACACACACACACGTCTTAGCCAAAAAAGCCTTGTGATTTTGTGGAGGTGGTATTAAAAATGTGTAATCCATTCACAGAAAATTTACAGGTAATCCTCATTTAGCAACAATTGGGACCAGCAGCACTATGTAAGAACAATTAAAGCAGTGAAATGGCTTATCTCTGGAAGTTGTGTGCTTCATCACTGGAGGTTTTCAAGAAGAGACTGAACAGCCATTTGCCCGGAATGATATGGGGGTCTCCTGTTTGAGCAGGGGGTTGGACTAGAAGACCCCCATGGCCCTTTCCAACTCAGTTCTATGTTCTATCATTAAGCAAAGATGTCACTAAGTGGGAAACCAGGAGACTACAACTGCTTTTTTTACCCCCATTCCCCACCCTTTAGAATGCTCAAATCTGGCACAGTGCCAGGATAGCCAGTGCAACTGCTGCCTCACAATTTCACTGCAACTTCCCTTAAAAATTAGAGAAGAATTTCCAAGAAGGAATTTAATGTTTGTATTTACATTCATTGGAGAGCAAGGGATTACAAGAGAGTAAGCAGGCACAGAATGGGGAACATACAATGAAACCAATGCTGTGGTTCCAACAGCTCTGAGCATATTTCACAAACAGTCCAGTGTATTTCCCATTGTGTGCCTGCCTACTCTCTTGTAATCCCTTCCTTTCCAATCTCTCCACTGCAAGGGAGGGGGAGAAAAACACTTGATTTCTCTAGGTAATCTCTCCTGTATCTGATGTGTTTATTTTTCTCCCCCTTCTCTCACAAAAAAGAAAGATTGGAGAGGGAAGGATTACATGAGGATAAGCAGGTACACAACAGAGAACACACTGGGCTGCTTGCACAGCATGCTATGATAAATTATGTCTATGAAGGGGGAAGTGGTATGATAGACTACAGTGAAACATCAGTATCCCAAAAAAGAGGGAGTACATTCCAAGAAAGAGATCGAGACAACATAGCCTGGAACTGGACTGTAAGCAGAAAAAGAGAATTAACATAGCCACTCCCTAGAATCTCCAAAGGTATATTCATTAGGATTATAGTAATATAGTTTAGTTTGGCAAGGTTGTATGGTGTAAGCACATAAAAAAGTGAAGTTTGATTGGATTGTTCTATGCCATTCTTGGGCTGGGCCTGATATGCTCACTAGTGTCGCCATATTCCTTTCGATATTCCCCATGATATGCCTGCCTACATCCTTGAAATCCTTTACTCCTCAAGCAGTTCACTTTGCAAGGGAGAAAAAAAGAAAATTCCACTTTTTATTAATGTCAAATTTTGTGAAAGGTTTTGCTTAGCGTTCTTCTTTATTGTTTATTCCCTGCTTATTTTGCACTGCCCTGACAGTTCTGTTTTCAAAGCCTGTTGCATAGCATATAATATCACAGCACCATTGGTAACTATTATTGCTAAGAATGGAATATTATTTCAGCAATTGATCTAAAGATCCTGACTTTGCTGTTCCACACCAAATTAGCATATTAATTACTAGTGTAAGCTCTCTTTTCACCTCCATATCTACCCCAGAAAACTGGCTAACATCTCTCTCTTAATTCCTACAATTGTATGAAATTATTAAATGTCTGTGGCAACTCATGATACTTTCCCAATAATTCTTAAATGTTTGAATTGAATTCTATGCTCAAGCATATTTTTAAAAACATTAAGAGAAACTATGTATATAAATGAGAATCCTTGTGCATATTTTTAAGCAAAAATTAGAAAATGAATGTAGATGTTCAAACTTGCATGAGTATTTGTAAAAGAGCTAAAAAGGAATTGTACTGACAAGAGCTTAAAAAAAAAAAAGTTGACCCCACCTCCCTTTTCTACGAAATTTCTGATAAACAAACCAGGAGTCAAAATGCTTGTTTGGTTTTCCCCCTCCTTTTATTTTATTTTGCTGTTTATTGGTTTCTTCTTTTTAAAGTTGCTTTTACATGCGCATAATTTGGAATTTGCATTGGAATATGGAGCTGTTATAATAAGAATCTGACTTCAAGAAACAGAACAACAACAAAAAAAGTTACTGCATGGTAGAAAAAATTATGTCCGAGGTACAAATACATACAGAGTTCCAAGGACCAAATGTGTTGACAGATTATTTACAAAGTTGTGGGACTGAGGGGAGAGGACAAGGAAGTTGGAAATGCAAACAGGAAGTTTTGCCCGAGTTGAACGCTTGGGGAATGAGCCAAATCAGGACGAAGATAGCTCCAATCCACTATGATCCTTGTTCAACCATGTTGGTTTCCGGGAAAATGTTCAGAATGTTAGATTAGGTGGCACAGCCGAAGTAGAAATAAAGGGCAAATTTTCAGCTACATCTCCATTTTCAAAGAAGAATCGACTTGGATAAAAGGCGGGGGAGGGGGGACTGAGGCCTGAATCTATTAGTTGTGTTGTTGGCCTAACTGCAGAGTCAGGGAGAGTGACATTCATTGTGAAGAAACGGACAAGATATCCATTCCCACCACAATCACTGTGATACTCTACATTTACTTATATATATTGTACTTAAATGGTGGCTTTTCCGGTTATTCAGTCATCTCTGTATAGAGCTTCTTCCTCTGAAGCTTATCCAAATACTCTGTTCCCACCCTGAGGCTAATCTGAAAAAATAAAACCAACTTATCCTATCTTTTCCTTTCTTCTTGCAATGCCCGCAAGAAGATAATTATTCTGTAGCTAAAGAAACGTAAAGAGAGCATCGGCAATGTTGGCTGAACCAATTGGTTTTTCATAGAGGATAACCGGTTCGCCTTTTTTTTTTCTTCCACTGTTCAGAATGAAAAAGCCAACATTTGGGAAGGACCATAAAATCAACCTCTGCATTCAGTAAAACCATCTGGGACAATACAGCTAGAACTAACCACTTGTGCCTGCCCTTAGAAGCCACTTCTATTCTCCCCAGTTAAGAAGATAAAAATCCCTGTACATAGAATACATACTCTCTGGACTTCCGGTCCTGCGCAGCAGCAGTGCAGCAGTCGAGGGGTTGGGGACTCCATGCCCTTCGGCTGAGTTTTTTCCTGTTAGGGGACCCTAAATGGGCCAGAAGCTGCCCCAAGAGGCGGCAAAGAAGGAAGTAAGTCCCGGGGACCTCGGAGAGACAGCAGTCGGCCCAATTGGTCCAGGAGAAGCCTTCCAGAAACCAACAGGAGAAAGGCTAACCTACGTTCAGAGTCTAGCCCAAGCTGCAAGCAACCAAAGTCAAAAGCACTATTTTAAGCTGATTGTAAACAGCACATTTGAATCTGGGTAAGAACATCGATTTTCTCTATCCTTTCCTGAAGAAAAAAAAATCCCAAGAAGCAAAAAAAAAAAAACTCTGAAAGTGAAGGAGGGGGATTTTTGCCCCACCCTTTTATTAACAGAAGCGGCGAATTAAACCTTTTATGGAGGACCAAAATGTATTGAAATGAAATGACTATAAAACCTAAATCTGGATGTTTGAAATTACTGAATGGTTAAGGTTCTCATTTCAAAGGCAATTTGTTCATTTTGAAAATTTGAAAAATAAACCAATACTGACATCTAGTGGTGGATGAAGACAATGACAGCTATGGCTTTCATGCAGGACTTGACAAAATCTGGAAAACATTAATCTCTACTTGTGACCTTCAAAGCTCTAACAATAGAGAACAGCTGTGACAAAAAAGAAAACAATCTGGGCTGCAGACAAGGTGAGACTTACAAACTTCAGGGAACAAAAAAACTTTGTTGAACTTTCTGGATTACAAGTATCTATTTAACTCTGACCCCAAAGCTATTTGCAGAGAAAGGAAAATTTGGATTCTTGGTCATCATGGAACATCAGAGATTTATAGAAAGAACCTATCAAGAAAAAATAAATACTTTTCAAGAGGAGAAATATGATGTGTTGCAACTAATTCAAATAACAATGATTTCAAACCACAAAGAAATCCAAAATAATTTGAAAATATAAACCAATTCATCTCCAATTTAACTTTACAACAACAAAAAATCCCAGGAAACAACAACAGAGAAGGAACAGATAAAACAGACAACTGAATACTAATTTGAGGATAAAGACTTAAAGATGGAACCTAACAAAACAAAGAAGTATGCTTTAACCCAAGTGGGAAAAATTTTACAAGAAATACTGGACTTCGAAAAAACAACTTATACTTTAATACCACAAAACAAATTTGAGGATAAGAAAAAAGATTGGACAAAATGGACTGCAGAGATGCCAGGAAAAATACTATAACTGAGAGACAAAAAATGATAAGAGAAGCAGAGAGAAAAAGAAAGAAAAAGATTTTCAACAAAAATGAATGGGCAAATGCCTCTCACAAAGATATTGTACTTGACTTACCTTTTATATCTACAGTAACACCTACAACAATATGGAAAGATTCTTTGATTCAGCAGAACATATTGATTAAGAAAGACACTGGACAAAAGAAAAAGGCTTAAAGTGAAAATTAAGAAAATAGATGATTGGGCCTATCAGAGACAATATTTAAAAAAGAAACACCTGTTCGAATATGGTTAAAGAAATAGAAAAATTTTGGATATGAATTTGGTTTTAAGAGGGAAGAGCCCCTCAAGTAACATAGTACTTTCTTTTCCTTCTTTCTTTCTTTTTAGTTTATTTTATTTCTTGATATGAGAAATATAAAAGAGTTGGAATGTCTTATATAAAGGAAATGTTTTAGATATTTAAAGGTGATTGACTTTAAGAAAATTACAATGGATTACAAAAATGTATTCTTATTATTTTTTCTTTTTCTTTAGTCTTATTTATTCCTTAAGAAAGGTAAAAGTATTGGGTTGGCTTACATGAGAAAAAATAGACTTAAATATTTAAATGTAATTAACTTTGAGAAAATCTTAACCAGTAAGAATGTTTTGAACATTGTGAGAAAAACAAATGTAAACAAGAACTGTAAATAGGATCTATGATGAGACAACCAGAATGACTAGATAGAAAAGGTGATGTGATTATTATCTGTAGAAATATTAGAAAACTTTTATACTCAATCGTCATTCACTAAAATAACAAAAATTGTATTAACTTAAGGTTGGCAAAAGAGAACATTATGGGAAAAAGAGGAAATCAAGTAAAGTTATTATGTGGATTATAGATTATAGAAATCAACTGTTAGTGAATGTTTCTTAAATGTAAACCCAGATAACACACAGTTTACCAAATATTGAGGTGATTATGTTAAAAAATTAATAAAACATATTTTTTTAAAAAAGAATACATACTCTCCACTGGTGTCCTAGTTGTTGTTAACAGATTGAGAGTTTGATTTGGGGAGATTTCATTTTGTGAATTCCTCAGGGTGCTCTTGAGCTGCTCTGTACATGTTTTCATATTCCTTAGCTCTCCCTAAGATTTCTCACAGTTGCCATGTGTTAATTATGCCCTAAGATGTACTTGAACATGGAGTAACCAAGTTCCTGCCACAGATTAGCAAATGCTGTAGAATCACACAATTGCTTTCCCATATGCCCAATTTGCTTTTCAAATTACATCTCCCAAGCCATTTCTCAAGCTTCTTGACATCTACCACTGCACCCAATGCCCTTATCCTGACTGTAGCATTTCCTGCTGTGTACGCTTGTAGTTGTGTAGCATTATTGGCAGCTCAGACTACTGTAATTTAGCAAACGTCAGTGTAGGTGAAAGAGAGTGTGCCCAAAATGGGAATTAACCAACCTCGCTGTTCAATAGTAATATAATAAAGATATCTCAATCTTGTAGAAGAACTTCAAAGATGTTTCTGCTATGAGTCTGACAATGCTCCACAGTCCTAGAGCCACATCCATGTAATATGGATCCTCAACAAGTCAAAACCATGCTTCTGTTCTAATTTGCTGCTAAATCTGAAAGAGGTGCCAGGACTTAAGTAGCAACCAGTCATTAGATCTGGAAGACATATCTTCACATTTCAGATATATGGAATGACCTGCAGCTTGAGACAAAGACCATACGCCCTTGGTGACAAGTATGATGTTATTACTTAACAGAACCCTAACTTTACTCTGTACTCCCGATTCAGGTTAAATAAACCCTGGTCTTTTGTTCTCTTCTGCTGGTGGGATGCCCTTCTCAGAACTCCCTTTGTCTGCAGGAGATCTCTCTTTTTCATCCTGATATCAACTAGGCAGAGTAACATCCATGTTTGCAAGACACCACATGAAAAACCTTCAGATTGCTAGCAACCAGATGACCACTAAGGAATATAAATCCTTCTGCTCCCCACCATTCAGCCAGAACTGAAGAAACTTCTTGGATGAGAAGCAAAACGTTTTCAAGGAAAAAACGCAAGAAAGTACAGTTGCCTTTTGAAAAAGCACCTTTGGGACAACCATGACCTGGATGATTGAGAATCTCCATAGACACAAGAGAGACAGGCTTTCTGTCAAAATAGCATCTAAGCCCACAATCTCAATGAAAAAACAGATGCTGAAATCCTGATGCCCACAGATCAGATTGATGGCTCAAAGGACACACTACTATCCCAGGGGTCCCCAACTGAATGCTTTCTAAACAAGTTGGACTACAATTCACTTCAATCCCCAGCCAGCCTCCTCTGTCTCCCACCCACCTCTCCCTTGCCATCCCTGTCAATTCTAAATGGCCGTGCCGAATAAAGATGGTCAAAGTTGTAGAGCAACACAAATGGAGAGCACCAGGTTGGGGAAGGCTGAATTGAGACACTGTGAACTTTCTGCTCCTCAGATGTTCCTAGCAGTTGCGAAATCTCTTGCTGGTCCAAAGTGTCCTGGCTTCCATACTGCAAATTCATAATAGCAGGGATTGAGTCTATGAGTAGGTAAAGAAAACACAACTGAATTTCAAGATCAGGACTGAAGAACTTCTGCTTCGAAAGAGAAGATTACCTTCACTTGCTTATCTCTCTGAAATGCTGGAGTGACTGGCTGGGACAGGGCAACATTTAATGATGTTGGGGACAGCAGCTGAGGTTACAGCCTTTGGTCACAGTATAAGCTGTTGCCTGAAAGCAGGGAGAGGTAAAGGTATTTGAGATCTGAGTCGCTCTGAGTTAATGCCACAGCAGTTGAAAATTGGATGTCTTCAAAACCGGGAGACAGAGGACAGGGAGGACCTTTACCCATGCAAGAGGCTGGATGACAGAGACAGCAGGATGTTGCCCTACGGGGCTGAATTTCATTAGGGGTGAAGGATTGCTGGGATCCAGCCACTTGAAGCCTACTTCAGAGGCCATCATGCAAGGATGAGAATCCCCACCCTCAGACACATACATGCCTGCCATGCTCAGTTAAAAAAACAAACAAACCCTTCCTCATACTCTTCACCTACAGTACAATCACCGCCATTCTTTGTTTAAAAGGGGGGCAGAAAGTGGTGAGAGTTGCCTTGGCAGTCGCTTGGCGGGTTTGGCAGTGAAAAGCCTTACCTGGGCTGTTGGGCACGAAAGGGAATTGGGTGACCAGTCCCAGTGTTACCATGGCCTTTTGCCCACTTGCACTCAGGGATGGGAGGAAGCTATACGAGGGGGAGGAAGGGTCTCAGTCTTTCATTCTCTGCAACTCAGGGATGGGGCAGGCAGTGTGTACTGTGTGATGTCGACATTGTTGACTCGGTAACACTTGCATTTATCAGTATTAATATTATTACTAGTAGTATTGATGGTCACATTCATGTCACACCCTTCTCGAGCTGGGGAGGGGCTCCCTCCCTGTGCGGATGGTGCTGAGTCGATGGTATCGAAGACTTTGGAGTAACTGTGTTGAAAACCTGCCAGTTAAAATAGAAACAGAATTAAAGGTGGACTTGGAGAAAAAAAAAAACAATAACTGGATCCTTGCCAGAAGATAAGTCATTGCAGATGATTTGCTCTTCTCACTTGGAATGAACAGCCACAGGATTTAATTGCTACAGATTGCTTTAGAGCAGGGGTCTTCAAACTTGGCCCTTCTATGATCCAGAACACCACACCCAGCTCTGTCCTTATAGCTTTTATAGCCTAATCCAAGGGTAGGCAATCTTGGCTCTTTTATGACTCGTGGATGTCAACTCCCAGAATTCCTCAGCCAGCTATGCCTGGCTGAGGAATTCTGGGAGTTGAAGTCCACAAGTCATAAAAGGGCCAAGTTTGAAGACCCATGCTTTAGAAAAGCCTTCCTCAACCAGGTATCCTTCAGATGTATTGGGACTACATCACCCAGAAGGCCTTGACAGCAAAGATCGGAAATCAGAAATCCAGCAAGTTAAGCCAATTTTAGTTCTCCCTTTTGGCATTTGAGGTGATGCTTTTGTGACCTCAGGCCAGTTTTTATCTACATAGCAAACTGCAGAGGGGATAGGTAAAGAACACCACCTGCTATGCTCAATTTGACATAACATATGGGGAACAAAGTGAGAAGCAGCCTCATGTCTGTGCCTTTCTAGAGCAGCCTTCTGAAAAAGCTGAGGGAAGAGAAAATTAGACAAGGGAGTCTTTTGATTAATGAGCCCAAAATAGAAGGTTTCTCTCATCCTCCACAACCACTGGAGAGTACAGAAACAGGGGCCAGACTATGTCACTGTAGACCTTAGGCATCGTCATAACCATAGGCTTCCAAGTTAGATTCTATACACCATATAGCTTTCATAATGTGATCAGCACACAGACGCAACTTTATATTCTTGTCTCATTTTTTGAGGCATTTGAGGATTTGTTGCAGCCTCAGACCTTTCCCTGGGCTATTGATTGGTGTTGGGTTTTCTGCCCACAGATAATCCAGCTTTGGTGGACTCCCACTATCCCAGGATACTTGCAACCATGCTACGTTCACCAGTGGAACTGAAAGTTAGCGGGGGGGGGGGAGTGGCTCCAAAGACAAAGCAGAATTACATCAACCAGAGATCAAGTGAGAATGGTCTTCCCAGTGGCATGAAATTTTATCTGCCAAGTTTCTGGCTTGCTACTTACTATTAACTGCCTGCTAGGTAAATGCCTTAGATAACGTTGGGTGGAAGAAATGTTAAGTATTGTGTGTTGTGTGTTGGGTTGTGCTGTGTTGTGTTGTGCTGTGCTATGTTATGTTATTTTGGTGGAATGTTGACTGGAGTCACAGGAGAGAGGGGCTCTTTCCATGACAGAAGAACTTGGAAAGCTTAGTGGGCAGAAAAGAGCAAGGTTGGATTCTCCCATAGCAAATCAGAAAGTGTATCTATAGTTACTGCTTTAGTCTGGCAAGATTCTTTTTGTAGGTGAACAACAATAAAGGAGCTACTCAGAAGTAACTTCCTGTGTCATTCTTGGTTCTTTGGGCCTGAAAGTTAATATTGTTTTAATTTTGATTGGCAGCTACCCAGAGTTTGGTATAAAATGTACAGCTATATAAGTGTTTTAACTAAATCAATAAATAATGAAGACTCCTGTATCACACATACACCACACACAAAATAACCCTTCTCCATTAAAAAATAATTATTATTAAGCCTCTTACGGAGAAGGAAATCTGAATGGGAATAAGAGTCAGAGACTCAATATAGAATCTTCCCGATTGCCTGCTTTTTAGCTGGAATTATCAGCACTCTCTAGTAAGCAAGAGCTGGGAAGCCCTTACCTTGTTCCTCCCATACGCAGTGCTATTCCACATTGCCATTCTGATTGTGCCGATTTTCAGGTGTGTTGGCCTCCTCCTCACAAGGTGAGAGCTCATCAATAGATGTCTGGTTGGTGATTCCTAGACCAAGAGGGGATCAATCAGAAGCACAGCATCACAGGTAGAGAGATCTAGATCTATCTACTCATAGTTCTAGATCTATATGCACAAAGATCTAGATCCATCTATTCCCATATCCAGCTTTAGTTCTATCTATCTGTGGATCTAGAGAGATCTGGCCAGGCCCTGGGTCAGAGAAATCCTTGGAAGATCAGGTGGCAGTGAAGAGGCTGGCAAAGAGAGACTGTAGGAACCTATAAGAAAGCCAGCCACAGAAAAGATTCCCAAGGAAAAAAGAGGAAAAAGCAACCATTTGGCAATCATATGCAACACTTGGGTAAAATAAGGGAGAAGACTTGAGGTTATAGTGGGCCAATGATGGTACCAAATGGACCAGCCTTTAGAGTTAGATTAGGATTACTGTTATTTATATTAAAACAACGTCCTATACCTATGGGATGTGTATAGACATTAAGAAGTCAGAAACCAAGGCTGATCACCATGTCAACATCTAAAAATGATCCTTTTCTTTCTTTTTTCTTAACAGCTTAAGGAAGGGACAGAAAGCCTTTAAGGGGACCTGAATGGGAGAATTTCTCCAAAGCTCCCTCACTCCATCAGCGTTCCCATACCGCTGGCAGCTCGTTCCTTCCACTTCTGCTTGTTCTCTTGGATGTACTTGCTCCAGGTGGAACGGAAGCTGTTGATGTCAGCATTGATGTCCCCCAGCTCAGCGTGCTCATCTACAGATGTCTGACGCCAGGTGGAACTGTGGGCAGTGGGATACAGTCAAGAACATGTTGCACATCCCCAGAGTGGTCATTGCAAGGAGCGATTGTGGACATTTCCTCTCCTCTCTTCCCTGTGCTGGCTTCTCTCTTCCACTTCCCATCTTGTCATCACTACAGCTCTGTCTTACAGCTCTCTAGCACAGGAGTACCCAACCCCCAGTCCATGGACCACTCCTGGGCCGTGACATGCCAGCAATCGGTCCGCACAAACAAGCAAAATCCCATCCGTCATCTCCTTCAATTCCCATCTCATCAAGTCTCATCTGTCAAATCTGGGGCAATCAAGATCATTATTACAGGGCAGGCTTTGCCTTCCCCTGCAGGGAGAGAACTTTTTTTGCAGTGGTCCACCATCAGTGGTGCATGCCAAATATCACACCTTGCTCTTCCCAGTTAGGAGAGGAGCTGCTTATAAAGAGATGTAGAAATCTCAGATGTCAGGCTTCGGGGAGCTTCTGTCATTCAGTAAACAATTCCAAGCTAGACAGACAGTCCACCTTAAAGCCACTTTCTTATATCCAGTCGAGAATATAGGGGCAAATATGCTTAAGCGTTCCGTGGCTTCTTTCCTCCACCTGATGTGGCACAGCCTGGCAATAGAAAAATACACAGAAGCAAAGTCTGGTCACTGTAGCTGAACCAGTTCCAAATAGGCAAAATGGGACAACTCTCTGCAACCATCTCGCCATGGCCAGCTCACCACAGCCAACTCGCCACAGGACAATTTGCTGTGGGACAATTCCACACAGGATAACTCAGTGTAATAAGAGTTATACACACTGTTTCTTTGACCTTATTTCCACTGACAAAAATGGAAGTCATGCAGAAAAAACAGTGGCGGATAACCTTTATTGCATTGAGTTGGGTTGTCCTGCGGTGAGTTGTCTTGTGATGAGTTAGCCATGGCGAGATGGCCATGGCGAGATGGCCATGCCAGGTTGGCCGTGGCGAGTTGGCTGCAGCGAGTTGTCCTAGACCCCCAAATAGATAGGGAACTGAGTGGCTGCAAAGAATCCATGCCTTCTCCAATCCACTTAGAGAGGAAGGAAAGGGGGAAGGAATGTATGACTACATAGCATCAAACTGTATTATTACTATAGCTGATCATAGTCAGCCAGATGTTCAGACTCCATTTGGCATTTTTATCCAACTATCAAATCCTTCCTAAGGACCTGGAATAGGCTGTTGTTGTTTTCTACAATCAAAGGTGCCATTGCAGAATGTGAGCTGTTCCAATTACAGCTGTCTTTTACAGTTGAATTATTATGCAATTGATGTATTATGGTTTATTACTATTATGGTTTGTCACACAGTCAGCCAGATGTCTAGACTGGATTTGGCATTTTTATCCACCCATTGAATCCTTTCCAAGGTTATTGTTATTATTTTCTGCTTCTTTTCAGACACCGAAAGAAGGGGCTTGCAAAAGATCGTGCATGATTTGTCTGCAGGCAGGATCAGCTCCCAACTGGAGGATGAAGGTATCCTTCCCACTGGAAGAGGTGAAAGAAAATACTGCCCCAGACAGCTAGGATGAGACAGAGGAATTTTATTTGATGCTGCCCAACTCCAAACATCACAATATACCAGACAATATAATAAAAACAATTATCATGTTCAAAGGCTAGACCAGTCAGAATGCCATCAGGGACTCAGAGAAAACAGTTTCTCTTAGGAGACAGTAACATTCCCCCCCACCACCACAAATTGTGAACAAGATGGAAGGCCACATCATTGCTTTATCCCGGAAACCTTTGGTCATTGAAAAGCAATCTTCCACCTGCTGATCTACATTAGGGAGGTCAGACCAGAGAGTTGGAATATTGGGCAAGTAGGACCAAAACCCTGAGAAGAATTCATGTCTGAGCCACTTCAAGATGTGTGGACTTCAACTCCCATGGTTGGCTGAGGAATTCTGGGGGTTGAAGTTCAAGATGTGTGGATTTCAACTCCCACGGCTGGCTGAGGAATTCTGGGATTTGAAGTCCACCCATCTTGAAGTAACTGAGACTGAGAAACACTGCAATAAAGAATGCCAAAGAGGTTCATTCCACCCCCACGGCTGCACCTCCCTCTCTTCCACAATCCTCCATCCCCACCAGTAAATGCCAACCTGCTCTGCTGGCTGGATGATTTATTCTTGGAACCTTCTTCCACTAATGGGATGACCATTTTCTCTGCAACATCTGTCAGAACTTGGAAAGTGGGTTCCACAATAAAGTCAATGAAACCTGTGGAAGGAAAAGAGTGTTAGGGACAGGGCCGTGGACTTTTCTGTTTTCCTCTGAAGGGTTATCCACAGAGTGCAATGAGGACAGTTCACTTCGCTATCCCTGTGGCAGAAGAAAATAAATAAAATAATGTATGGAGGATACATTAACATCTCTACTATGTCAAGGGAGGGAAGGAAGAGGCAGTCAAGGAGAGTTCCACTGTGGCTTACAGTCTGGTTTTTTTTTACCACTCACCAATCTGTGACTGGGCCACCAGTGTGGATGTGCGATCACATAATGGGGAGAAGGGCAATCCCAGCTCAGCTTCCTTGTCTCCCTATAAAAACAAGGTAGATAAGAACCAAGTCTTGTAGTGCAATGGCTGAGTCAGACATTTAATGACACGGCATAAGTAAACCAATCGGTTATATTCATGATAGCTGTTAAATTGGGCTAGTTTTAATTTGATCTGTGGCACAGAAGTCATGCAACCCCAGCCTGTGGAATGCTTCACAATTCAGTGTATGATATAAACCCAGAAAATGGGCTAATTGGCTAACCAGGTGTAACATGCAGTGCAAACTCAGCCTTCATGCATGGAATATAATCTTTCCCTGAACATTCTAGAGCAGGGGTGTCAAACTGCTGGACCGTGGGCCGGATATGTCATCCGGAAGCCATGCCCACCCCATTGCCGGCCATGGCAAAACCGTCCCGATATATTGCGCAAACGTCACGTGATGTCGCAAGTTTGACATGTCTTCTCTAGAGACTTGGTGAAACCTGAAAACTGTGGCTTTGTTTGAATAAGCAAGTGTTTGTGACTACTAAGAAAGGGGAGCATGATTTCAGCAGTCCTATTCGGCCTCCGAGCCCCAACATTATAACCCCTCTGAGGCAGAACCCCAGGCATACCTGGCGGAAGAACTCTTCCATGAGAGCTTTGGTCCATCGGCAGTGCACCGGCCACTGCTTGGTGGGGTGGCTGATATCAGCTGCATGCAGCAACAAGGAGAGGGCTTTTGATTTGTCAATCCTAGGGAAGCAGCAGCACAAGAATAGTGAGAATGGGGTCAGATCTTGCCCCTGGCATAACGGACCCGCAAAGGCACAGTGTCCCAATTGGGACAGGCAGCCTCCCATTTGCTATGCCATGCTCCAGGCTCTCACCGTTGCTGTTGTGTAGAAGCCTGATTTAGCAAGTATCAACACCCAACCCATCAAGGAGCAGAATTACCACTTACTGTGCACATCCTTATCCCAGAGACCTGTTTTTCCACTGCTGTTTTATAGCTGATTTTTTTTAAAAAATAAAACAGGTATGCTCCTTAGGCAACAGGAGGAACTTCTGCCACTTCTTACTTTATGCTCCACCCATATATGTGAAGACCTTGACTTTTCCCCCATGCCCTCTGTTCATGCCAGAAGCAGCCAGGAAGGAACCTGGGCAACCTCAAAGAACTGTTGACTATTATTCCGACTAGTTCAGAAGTTGTAGGTGCTTCTTCACTGGAGGTTTTTAAGAAAAGACTGGATAGCCATTTACCTGAAATGGTATAGGGTATCCTGCTTGAGCACAGGGTTGGACTAGAAAGCCTCCAAGGTCCCTTCCAGCTCTATTCTGATTGATTGATAGTGTTTCCAGATGTGGCTCAGAAAGTCCTGTTTCCCCTCCCTTCATTATTTCAACTACAGTTCTATGTCTGCCTGCCTGCCTGCCTGCCTGCCTGCCTATATCTATCTATCTATCTATCTATCTATCTATCTATCTATCTATCTATCTATCTATCTATCTATCTATCTATCTATCCATCCATCCATCCATCCATCCATCTACTGTATCTATCTATCTATCTATCTATCTATCTATCTATCTATCTATCTATCTATCTATCTATCTATCTATCTATCTATCTACTGTATCTATCTACCTAACTACTATGTATCTCTGTATTTCCCTTTCTCTCTCCCCTATCTATCTATCTATCTATCTGTCTGTCTGTCTGTCTGTCTGTCTGTCTGTCTGTCTGTCTGTCTGTCTATCTATCTATCTATCTATCTGTCTATCTATCTATCATCTCAAAATATCTGTAAATGAAGCATTGTCCACCCTCACTCTGAACTGACTTAGTTGTCAGCATCATCATCACTAAAAAAAACTGCCTCAGGCTAGATAAAGAGTTTTCTAATGTACTGCAGATTTAATATGTATCTGCAAACCTTCCATGCTTTTTATGCTTTCAAATCCATTTTTTTTCTATTACATATCCAGGGGTTATCACAGCAATTTTTTTAACACATGCACATGCACACACATACACGCACACAGCCCTCCTTTTGCCATTTACCGTTCCAGCTGCTGCAGGGACGTTTTCATGGACTTGACTTGCTGGAAGTGACAGGACATGTCTGTCGCCAGAACCATTTCAATCACGAGGGACCGGAGCTCCCTGCACCCCATGAAATCAAGAAACACAGCCAACCATCAAACACGTTCTTCCTTATGTGTTTCAACCTCCAACATAAATGCATCTTGCGGATACACCAGGAGGAATCCCCATTTTTAGTGACAAACCAGGGGGGGGGGCGATCTGTCCATTCCGTTACCATGAGTGATCACATTTGAGTTGATACTCTGCAATCCCAGGAGAAAAAATCTGCCCCAAAAGGACACAAATACCAAAAATGCTTGAATATCAAATAACATTGTTGGCATATTTAGCTTTTGATATCGTCTTTGATAATGACAGTCATGTCTTTAACCCTTTTTTTCCCGGGGGAGTGGGGGCCCCCTGGAAAGACTCAAATACCATTAGAGACTACACAGATGCCTTCCTTCTATTCAGTGTATTCCCAAAGATAATATATCTTCATGCTGACTGCTTTGCTGCAGGAAATCCTATCTTCCCAGCGAGTCCTTTGCAGTTGTAATACATTTAACAGAAGTCTGCCAATTTTTATCTCATTTTGTTTCCTGCCTGTGAATGGGTTTAATAAGTAATCATCTTTGTGGTAGAGCAGCTGAGTTTAAAAATAATGCAATAGAATTTCATAGCTTAATTTCATCATGCCTCCAGAATCTCTCTCTCTCTCTCTCTCTCTCTCTCTCTCTCTCTCTCTCTCTCTCCCCCTTCCTCTCTCTCTCACACACACACACAAATACATGGATCCCAGAAAATTCTCATTCAAAGATCTGTACAAATTCCTATGTAAAGTTCATCACAATGAGTGTACCAAATGTACCTGAGAGAGGATATTTGTGCTCTGTTTCCTGCCTCCCCTCCCCTCTCCTTCTCCTCCCCCACAAATCTTAAATTGCAACAGATCTAAAGATTTATTGCTCAAGCAACAAAGATGGGGATTCTCAAAAGTGATAAGAGAAAGGGGAGCTGACGGCAAGAAAATTAGACTATTTATCATAATAATTATTTACAAAGCCTCATGGGCCCTATCAGCTAGGCTGAGGGAATATTGTAACAATAAACGTGGGCCCAAGATGAGAACATCTGGTATGTAAATTGTCTTGAATTTGGAAATAGTTTCAAACCTGGGTGTCAGGCAGAAATATATGGTGCAGGCTGAAGCTGTCAATCAAGCCAAGTGGAAGGTGCTGGCATGATAATGAGGCTCACGTTCAACCTCTCAAGAATGAAAAGAGGTATGTAGGAGATCCACAGAACAAGCCTTGCAAACAACTTTGGGATGGATGCTGATAGAACCCAGAACCTTTGCCATCACTGCTTATTAGTCATTGCAAGACTCTCTGAGCAGCTATGTATATACAAACACACATACACAACCCCGTTAGGGAGTTCCTTGCATCATTCAAGAGGACAATTTGCTACCTTTTGCTATTGGTCTGGAAGGCTAGTTCCAAAAACCAAGGATAGGTGATCAGAGTTCTTATCCTCATACTATAAATGTCTGAGCAACAACTGAGAACTTCTAAACACTACAAATGCACTGCCTGAAAAGGTTTTGTATGTTTGAATCCTTTTAGCTTCAAAATGTCTAGAATCATAATGCCTAAAAAAATAAAATTATTTCTGCTACCATCTAAGCAAACTCTTCTACGTACAAGCCCACTGATTTTGAGATGCTGGGGTCTCTAGAATATTCCATCAATCATCCTAAGGAAAGACATGACATCCCAAAGTGGAGATATCCAAAAATAAATGAATATCAGATGGAACTAATTAAAGGTATTTAGAAGGAGTCCCACATAAGAGGAATTGAGCAGTTAGCGAGATTATAAACCGAAGGCCACTTACTAGAGGAGGAAGCTCAACTTAATTGTTGCCCTTTTCTCACAACAACGTATAAATGCACAGCATTTTGCAGGAAGAGGTGATGGTGTTCCAGTTAACCACAAAGTTGACCATCAATTTGCTGATTTCTGCCCTACTCCACCCCACAATGCCTGGACCCCCTTGAAGCATTTCTCAGTGAAAGCATGCCCTGTTTTTCCTGAGAACATGGTTCAGTAGAGAAAGAGAGGATGAGGACTCACACAAATTCATCCTTGGCCAGGTTAATAAGTATGTTCATCTCATCTTCCTGCATCATGCGGAAGACGGCGCTGATGTGGTGGTTCTCCAGAACTGACCGGTCATTGTACAAAATGGCTGTATCTGACCTGAAAAAGAAGAAAACCATAAAGCAAACACAATGTCAAGGGCAGGGATGAATGATCTTGCTTTTTTGAAGAACTGGTGAACCTTTCAACATTTTGGTTAACTCCAAACATACTGTACCTAATACAATGGCTTATCTTTAATTGTGTGACAAAAAGAGGCCACAGAGGCCTCAAGTAACCAATACAGTTCACTTACTATTTGTTATTGTGCATTCTACAGGTGTTTCAGAATTCTTCTTTTCTCTAAAATGACACTGTAAGGTTAGCAATGGAACATCCCCGTAACGACGTTTTTACTTACTTGGTCTGGATGTGGAAGCTGTTGGTGGTACCCGTGTGTTCATAGTCATGGATTGCAGCTGCAAAGATAATGGCTAGGGCCTCAATCTCTGTCAGGCAGTGCTGTGGAGAAAGAAGAAGCAAGGGAGATTATCAGCATCTTTGGGAATGAAAGGGTGAGGTCTGGAAATAACTCCAGATGTTTGCCATCATAAATGGAAGACATGTTCTACAATGGGGGGGGTCATCCCTATGACCAAAACTCGCTGATTCCATAACCTTTCTAGATCAGTTGTTGTCCTATCTGTGGCATAAATTCTGATTTAAAGCCTACTTTCCTGGAAACAAACACTATAACAATTGCACTTCCCATGGCAAGAAGAGAAGCAGCAACAAGGCACAGATAGATACCTATCTTACTGTTCTTTGGTACATATGTATGGCTGGGTATGTGCAATATAAAATAAGATATACAGACATAAAATATAAATTTGCTCTCACACAGGACATATACCATTTCTCATCTTAGGATTCCTACCACAAATATGGTTTTGTGTCATTCCAAAGAAAATTGTTGGAAGAGTCTTGAAGTTCTTCTATTCCAGAGGTCCCCAACCTTTTGAGCACCAGGGACGAGTTCTGTGGAGAGAGGTTTTTCCGCAGACTGAAGGGTGTGTGGTTTTGTGTGCTGCCTGCATCCCGCGGATGGGGCTTTGCTTGTTTGTGCGGACCAGTTGCTGACATGCCACAGCCCAGTACTGGTCCACGGACCAGGAGTTGGGGAGACCTGTTCTATTCCAATCCCTGCTCTAGCAGGAAACTCTATACAATTCCAGACAAGTGACTGTCCAATCTCTTCTTAAAAATCTCCAATGATGGAACTCCAACTTCTGGAGGCTAATCGTTCCACTGATTAATTGTTCTCAGTGTCAGGAAATTTCTCCTTAGTTCTAGGCTGCTTCTCTCCTCAATTAGTTTCCATCCATTGTTTCTTGTTCCTGCCTTCAGGCATTTTGGAGAACAGGTTGATCCCCTCTTCTTTATGGCAGCTCTTCATATATTGGAAGACTGCTATCGTGTCACCCTTATTCCTTCTCTTCATTAAACTAGACATACCCAATTCTAGCAACCTCTCAAAGCTAATGAGTTCCAGGTGTGCTGGGAATATGACCAACATTTTCAGCAGGCATCATTCCCATGCAGAACCAACTGCTGGCTACGTTCTTCAAAGCCCAAAGAGAAGCAGCCTAATTTAAAGGCTGTGCTTTCTCAAATAAGTCGGTCCTGGTTTAAAAAAATCTTTGGGAAAGTCCTTCCTTCTGCCTTGTCCTAGGCGGAACTTGTTGCCTCCTGCCATGGGAACTCCCCTGTTCAGAGACAGAATTGGTTTTCAAGATATTTTATTTGCTGGAATGCATTTGAGCAGGTCAGATCACTGATTTATTTTAGGGTTTGTTTGGGGTTTTTTACTTGATATGATTTTATATTTTTATATTAAAACTGTGTATTTATCTTGTAATAGAACTTGTAGAATTTTTTGTTTATCATCTTGTTTTTTTAAAGACGGGGCAGGGGGAGAGGACACAACTCACTCTGCCGACATTTGCTGACTGCAATCAGTTTTTCCAATTCCTGGCTTGGTGCTAAATTGGGAAGACCTCTAGAGGGCACTGTTGCTTTCTGTATGTGTATGGCGTTTCAGTGAGTTTTGATCAAGAATAATTTGGGAGCAAAACAGCTTGTAGATCTCATTCCTGAAATTTGTCCTAAGTACAGTAATTTAGGTTAGCCAAGCAGAAACCCAAGATTTGAAAGTTTTTTCAGACCCAAAAAGCAGAATTAATTTTCTAAGTATGTAATATTAACATGCTTGAGGGTGAACAAATGGGACATTCACTGAAGCACCCAGTCCACAGGATAGCCTTACCACCATGCCAGTGCGAAGCAGGAAGCAATGTACAGTCTGGGTAACATCAGCAGCATGAATCTGATTGTGATAAGGGTTCTTATATTTCCCATAACCAGCCTCCAGTGCATCCAGGAAAGTCATGAGGTACACCGTGGGGATCTGCAAAATAACAAAGACAAGGTGACCCTAGGCAAGATCTGAAAATAGCTGCAAGCTTAGATGTCTTCTATTGAGTCTGATAGTTGATCCATCTGAAAAGCCATAGTTGCACAGTGGTTAGAATCCAATATTGCAGGCTAATTCTGTTGACTGCCAGCAGTTCGATTCTGAATGGCTCAAAGTTGACTCAGCCTTCCATCCTTCCGAGGTCGGTAAAATGAGGACCCAGATTGTTGGGGGCAATATGCTGACTCTGTAATTTGCTTAGAGAGGGCTGTAAACCACTAAGAAGCAATATATAAGTCTAAGTGCTATTGCTATCTAGTTTGGTGCTACCTGTATTAGTCTTTCCAAGCATGTCTTCCAGTTTTGATGGATTATAACTCCTCAGCCAGCATGGGAAGTCTGACTTGAGATGGTTGGGGGTTGCAGTCCAACAAGGTCTGAAATGTAATCTGCCTAAGTAGTGGTGGCTCTCCAGTATTTCAGATGACTTTTTTCCCAATCCAATTTGGACATGCTGGAGACTGAGCACAAAACCTTTATATACCTTGGCTTCTATGCAGAGTAAGATTCCCCTTTTAGTATATATGATCTACTGCTGTGTTTTTCCAGCTTGGCAAGTTTACGATGTGTGGACTTCACTCCCAGAATTCTCCAGCCAGCAACTGGTGATTGGAAACACAATAAGCCACAGTTTGTTCTCATAATGGTTTGTTGAAAAAGCCAGAGTGACTTAGGTGGTACATACTGGCAAGTCAAATTATGGTTTAGCATTTGTTAAAAATGGAAGTTTTAAAGGTAGAGCTAGATAACTGTAGCTTTATCATGAATATTTAGAACCCTCTATCATTAAAGCAACATCTCATCTGGAAAATGTTAAAGTATTTGATTCAGGAGAAGCAGCTGGTCTCCTGCTGAAGTTTTGGACTATCATTCCCATAACTTCATGCCACTGGCTATGCCCATGATGAATGATGAATGTTCAGATATAAACTGCAGGAGTTTCAACCAGGTTTCTATTATTATAGCCTTCAAAAAAAAAGCCCTGGTAATTCAAGCAGCATATTAAACCTGTTTTAATGCAAGAAATTAGTACAACTATTTTGCTGATGTCCCAGCAAGTTGCAGCATCCAGCCAACTCTGGCTGCTATCCAAAAATAAAAAGAAAAAGAAAAAAAAGCTAAATGGAATCAGATCTGCTTCTTACAAACCACTTCTGTGGAGAGCAGCAAGGTCCATATTTGATATAACAGAGTCTTTACCTTTTTGATTCTTGGAAATTTGGAAAAGTAAAAGAAGGATGGGCATTATCTACTCCTCAGTCTGCTTTCAAAACATTTACCCAAACTGCTCAGCATCTTCCCTGGCAATCCTTTGATTGGGGGGGAAAGAGGGGAAAGATGAGAAATGACCCCACCCACTTTTGACTCTGAATCCGATCACAGACCACTCAGCTTCAGCCCTTAGCCTGCAGAACTCCTCCCCAACTGATCAGTCCTATAAAAATAGGATCCCCTCCCTCCCCCCCCCTCTCTCTCTCTCTCTCTCACACACACACACACACACACACACACACACACACACAAAATATACTCCCTCTTCTACTTTAAAAGCAGCATTATAGTGCTGCCCTAACTTCTCACAATTTGGAAAGATGATTTAATCTGCAGGCACAGAAGGGTTACCTGGATGTGCTTGGACCCCTTCGTTTCTTACCTTGAAGCGGCTGTTGAGATTGTGGCGGGTGAGCAGTTCAAAGACAATTGTGCGCAAGGCATGGTCTTCGCTCACCTTGTTCAGTGCAAAGACATCAAAAAACCAGAGGTCAAGAGTCTAGGAAGAGAAACAGAGGCAGAGTGAAAGATGGAGCAGGAGAGATGCTCCATCAAATCTGCCATACCTACTAAGCAAAGGACTTACCTCTGGTGTAGGATGGGGGGGGGGGAATGGGGCAAGGATCCAAAAGAAAAGGATGTTTTTAAAAGGGGGGGGCTATTAGATGGAACTTAATGTGAACCAAGAAATCCATTTCTAGGTATTAATCATTCCTCTAATAAATAGGCCTGTGGATCTGTCTGTCCATCCATCCACCTCTACACACACATTGTACACACATAATACATATGTTCATTTACCTACTGTCAGGCTCCACAAACCAAGAGAGAAACACAAGAGCTACTTCTAAGCAATTTATTATTCTTCGCCTATAGGCAGAAATCTTGCCAAACTAAAGCAACTACTTGAATCATTAAAGATATTTCTAAGAACTTGTAGGGGAGAACTCTCTTGACCCTCTTCCTCCCAAACAAACTATATAAACTAGTCTTTGGATCCTCTGGAATGCAGCTCTTCCCTCCAAGGAATCCAGCCTGCATTCTACCACACACACGCAATCCTATTCCAAATTACTCCAGGTGGTTTATAATATATATCAAAGAGAATTCCTCTAAGCCTCTTCCTTCTTGAAGTGATTAATTAACCCCTACAGTGCGGATTATTGATTACTGGTGAAAACTAGGACTTTGGGGAAAACTTTGCCTCCAGTATCCTTTTTCATAGAGCGGATAGTAGGGAATAGCTAGAAAAGTGTGACTCATAAATATTGACCCAATGGATGGCTTGAGGTGATGGGAAAAAATAGCCTTGGGAATTAGGGTGGGGTGAATGACAGAAGCCTCCTCTCAAGCAGGAGAAACCACCGGATGCAAAAATTAGGAATTATTACCAGAGTGTAAGCCTCATTACATCCAGCAGACACTTACACAGATAGCATAGCACTGTTAACAGGATCCTCCCTCCCAAAAGAGTTGTTACCTTCAGACAGTTGATGACCGATTGGGAATAATTGGGTCCCACAGCTGTGTACGTTCGACGGAACATCCTGTGCAGTGGAAGACACAGTCAGACGGTCCCTGGGAGATCTGGCTTACTTGCAATTAGAAACAACTTCCAAATCCCATCAAGCATGCAAGGCGCATTAGGCTTTCTTCAGGCAGGGCAATAAATTTCAGGCATGTCAAATTTGAACCTCTTCTCCAGAGATACTAAGAATCAATAGCCCAGTAGTTTTCCAGACCCATGTACAGATTCCCCAGGCACAGGAGGATATATAATAATTTTCAGTTTCAATTTTCATCACTATCAATATGCATTTTTATCTGCTTCCTCCTTTCCACTCGCTCCTTTTCATTATCCCAGTTCCCTTTCCTAAACTAGAACTAAGAGACAGTCCCCTGCACAGATGCCCCAGAACTAAGTCAGACCCGGGTTGTCCATTTGACCCCGTTTGATGCCCTCCCATCTTTCACCCCTAACCAGCATGCCTAACCATGCAAATGGAGGGGAGGGTTGGTAAGCTGCAGAACAAGAAATCAGAGATGGGGTTCTCAGCTGGGAAAAGCTAGCTTAGGACAAAGTATTCCCTTTCCTCTGTCATCTCATATGAATCATTTCTTATTCAACCACACAAGCATTGTCCCTCATCTCTCATCCCCTATTCCATTCTAATTTCAGGCAGTCCGGGAAGAGGCAAGACGAACCAAACCTTTCCACAAAGATGCCAGCTTGAACAGCATGCACAATGCTGCGAAACTTGGGTTTTTCCTCCGAACGGCGCCCCTTGGACCGGGTCTGCTGGGTAAAAGTGGAGGCCAGCCAGTCTCGCACTTCAGAGGGCACAGCGTCAGATTTGATCTCTTGGAGTTCATCTTCTGTGTCCAGAATCTTCCTGAAACAGGAATGGTGCCAGTGGGGAGAGGGAGGACAGATGATAAGCAGTTAGAGGCAACGTGCGTCACAATAGGAGACAAAAGCTGCAATTACATTGCCCCCCCCAAAAAAAAATTAAAAAGAAGCCCAGAGAACAACAGTAACACCGGCACTTAGCCTGGTTTTCAACACTGATGGATCATCTTTTAAATGTTAAAAGAAATTTTGAAAAATAAAATGAAGGAATGTTTAACTCAAGTCTCCATAACATTGCTTATACTAGCCCAGGGGTCTTCAAACATGGCCCTTTTATGACTTGTGGACTTCAACTCCCAGAATTCCTCAGCCAGCATGTTGGCTCAGGAATTCTGGGAGTCGAAGTCCACAAGTCATAAAAGGGCCACGTTTGAAGTCCCCTGTAGTAGCCTATGAGAAAGATGGCCTTAAGTCATACTATTTTGTTCGTTCGTTCGTTCGTTCAATCATCAATCAATCAATTTCTATAGCTATCCATCTCAGGAAATAACTCTGGGCAGCTTACAATTCAGAATGTATTTTACAATTTAAAAATGTGAAAAACATTTTAAAACAATAAAACCAGTAGAAAACATTAAACAGCCAATTCAAAATACACAAGAGCAAGGTATTTGGCCTGTTACCAATAAAGCTAGGAAAAGTGGGGGGGGAGGCTTGGTGCATTCAACAACCCAAGCTCAGGAACATAGCCAGGTTTTTAAGGCCTTACAAAAGGCTAAAGGGTTGGGGCCATTCTAATCTCTGAAGGGAGGATTTTAGGTGCCCCAGTACTAAAGTATGTTTCCCATTATTCTGAAGGTGCAAGAACAGCTTCAAGCTGAGTAAAGCTGTTAGGTTTTCAAGCATCACTTTGGAAGGAAGTCAGATGACTGATAGAAACTAAAAACACTAAAGGCCCAATAGGGATTGGCCCAGTGCTGGGATTCAAATATGTGAACAACAGGTTTTCTGTGTGGATGCCACTTCCGGAAGTCCATTCTGGGCCTGGGCAACAAAAAAATAGCTACCGGTTCTGCTGAACTGGTGAGAACCGGCTGAATCCCACCACTGGATCAATCATGGGCACAACAAATTTCACAGATAGTATTGTTCTGGCAATTTAAGTATGGATGAAGGGCAACTCAACAATAGGAAAATATCATCAGTGCTTCTCTGGACTTTAGATAGAGATGAGGCGTCTTCTAATGTGCTCTTACTTGGGTTTCCCTTAGTGTCTCTGAGAAAGTATTTCCTACAACTTAAGAACACTGAGGAATGAGTTTGTGATTTAAATAACAGCGTGTACAGTACTTGACTGACTCTCTGGATTCAGTGCATCCAAGGGTGGTGAGTTCTTCATATGTCATTCTGCCACTAGGGGGAAACCACATCCCTTTTTAGTGCCAACATGAATTGGAAACCAGAGGAAGATCCACCCATTAAAGGCTTTCAGAGCTGGTAAAACTCAGCAGAGCTTCTGCCAACATCCAAGCCAGGATGCTAACCACCACTGTCAAATTTCTGCCTGATGGTGTCTGTTGCCTTACAACTTCCCCATAATTTAGTTTATCCCAGCTTTTGTCAACCTGGGTGCTCTCCGGCGTATGGACTGACTTCCAGAAGAATTTTCAGCAATGGGATGTGAGTCTGGAGTCTGCTTAACTTGGGGATGGGCAGCCTATCCAGGGGCACTCATTTTGACTTTGGGGAGGGAGGGAGGGAAATAGTATTGGACCAGACGGACACCCAACAGGGCTTTCCCAACCCTTCACCCTCACCTGGTCTCATCAATGTAAACTGCTTCAAGCAAAGAAGCTGTATATTCCAAGTTCTTCTTCAGCTCCTGAATATTCACCTCTCCTGTCTCCAGCTGTTTCACCATATACCGCAACCTGCAAATCAAGGGGGAGAAAATGAGAGGAAGGGAGTAAAGTAGACTGGGGAAAACTTCTTTCCTTGGCTCACCTGCTATAGAGCATCTCACATCACAATCCCACCTCCTCAAGAAAGAGCCAACCAGAAAGAAATCATATTCCAGTTGTTTGCCACTGCTGTGAGAAGATAATCTCAAGGAAAATGGACAGGGCTGGTCATCTTTCTAGAACTTGCAAACTTCCTCAACCATCAACTGCTTGATCAACTACATCAAAAATGACTCTTAAAAAAATAAATAAATGCAGTGTTCTCTTGGAAAATGCTTTGCCTTCTTACACACTCAAAGGGAATGGAGGGAAGGGCAGTTTCTGATAGAAAAGCACTACATTTGGGGAGTTAATATATGACTGGACACAGGGTAACAGCATTCACCGTAAGAGGACATGTTAAACTCCATTAGAAGATGGAAATAAGGTAAAAGAAACCCAAGTCCACATCTCTGTCCAGCCATGAAACTTATTGGGTGATCATTGGCCAGTCACTCTCATCTCCCTTTCTCACAGGAGAATTGAAGGAGGGGAAGGAAAAGGGATTTAGAATGCCACGCAGAGTTCCTTCAAGGGATAATGGGAAGAAAATATAACTAAATAAATAAACATGTAGGTCAGTGGTTCTCAACCTTTCTAATGTCGTGACCCCATAATACAGTTCCCCATGTTGTGGTGACCCCCAAGTGGGTGTGGTCACCAATAAGAGGGAGTAGGACAGCTAGGGAAAAAGGAAAAAAATGGCAGACAGCGTGGTTTGGCGACCCCCATGAAATGGTCGTTCGACCCCAAATGGGGTCCGGACCCACAGGTTGAGAACCACTGATGTAGGTAATTCCCTTCTTGATCCTGATCCCAGCATTATAGATACAAAACAAAGAGCAATAGCAATAGCACTTAGACTTATATACCCCTTCACAGTGCTTTACAGTCCTCTCTGAGTAGTTTACAGAGTTGGCATATTGCCCCCAACAACCTCGGTCCTCATTTTACCGACCTCAGAAGAATGGGAGGCTGAGTCAACCTTGAGCAGATGAGGATTGAAGGAATCAAACTCCTGGCAGTGTGAGCAGAGTTAGCCTGCAATGCTGCCTTGTAACCACTGTGCCACCATGGCTCCCAGGTCTTCTTTTCTCCTCCCAAGCTGCTATCAACCAAGAAGACCGTTGGGTCTTTTTCATCCACTGCTGGGAGTCTGAGATCAATCAATTGAAAAATGGTAAAAAGGATGCTAACTCCCACCCACCCACCTCCTCGTATGGATTTCATCCCACAAGAGATGTATGTGACAGGCCCACAAAGGCATTGGCAGACATTGCAAAAGATCTGAACAATCCACACAGAAGATGGAACAGGCGGGTCTTCTACTGCACTATACAGCAAAGCTGGAAGCAAAGATTAGGGGTGATTTCAACTGAAAGTTAAGACAGGGAGCAGAATTCAGCTCTAGGAAAAGAAAAACTGGAAAGCCCTTTGACAATGAAACAACTGTCTTGGGAGGGGGTATGCTCTCTTTTCCTGGAGGTCTTTAAATAAAGTCTGGCTGGTTGTATATCAGCAAGCAAGGAATTAAGGTCTGTATAAGTGCTGTGCAAAAGATAAAAGGCACTTCAGAACACATGTGCTTTTAGCCCTTGTCCACAACTCTTTAAAACTAAATACATCTTTCCCCAGGATCATCCTCTCACCTTTAAATCCCAAAGCACAGCTCTATATTCTGCACTAATCTTCAGGGATTGGGCAAGATGGCCTTTCAAAACTCTTCCCAAATTCTTCATTTTGACAAGGACAGTTCTGTATATAACAGGAGGGAATTTATCTTATTCAGCCAGTTCTAATAAGCCTGCAGCTTGTCTTGAAGATGGCTTCTAAGTGAGGCAGGCAGAAGGCCTGCCAAGGGCCAACCTTATCTTTCAACAAGACCCCTTATAAAAAATGGGACAGGATTAATCTGCAAGTGCCCTTTCGCTCCTGTGACAACTTTGGGATCTGCTTTACTCACACATCTGGAGAAACTCTTATTCACCTTTCCTCTCGTAATTTATTTCTTCCAATTTTTAACTTTTTCCCTTTTATTTAGAAGGGAACAACAAAAGTGGGTTCCATTCTCATCTGAATGCCCCTCCTGTAACTTGTTTCACCAACTGTATTTCTCTTGTGACACAATGACCCTACCTGTTCTGCAGAGAGTGAGCTAATATCAACTGCCTGCCAAAGCAAAAGATAGGTTAGGTCATGCAGTTCTGGCCAGTTCTTCATGTGCTGCTAGTTAATAACAGGCCATCAAGCTCAGCCAGGCGCTTCGTCTGTAATGTTTCACTTCCAATTAATCAGTCCTATTGTAATGCATGAAAGACACTGACAGGAAAACAACAAACACCACTTAGTCTTTCACTGAAACCAGAGGAGCACATCATTAACGCATGAGTGTCTTTTGAAGGAAATGGAAAGTGCACACACATTTCTTAGGGACAAAACAACATGTCAACAGCAACACAAGGAAAGCTGTAAAACAAGGAGCTTTGTGTTGAGTCCTCTCTTTGAACTTAGAACTTCCCTTATCCAGCACCCTTCAGATGCACGAGTATTACAATTCCCAGGATCCCCAGCCAGCATGGCCCAACACTACTGGAGAGTCAGCTTAGGGGCTGCTGCTGAAAAACACAGAACAATTCAGGGCATTTCTTATATGGAAGCCTATGTTCTTCTACGCTGGAGAAATGGAAGCACAACAGGATGATGACAAAACAATCGCATCAGCTGCGCGACATGTTCCAGGAAAGTTAAATCTTGTGACTGGGTTGCCATTTTTAGTGACAGCTCCACGTGTTTCATAATCCACTGCCTGGCCCTCCAAGAATTTTTTCATGGCCGCAACTGCTGAATGAGAAATCGTAACCCTTCCCCAACCTTTCCTTTTACGGGAATAAGGCTCCTGTCTAATTTTTCCTTACCTAAATCAGTCTGATGATGTACCAACAAGGGAAGCTAATGATAAGCCAGTGATGGCGAACCTTTTAGAAACCGAGTGCCCCAAAACTGGCCCCACCTCCATTCTACCCCCGCTGCCTGCCCCCACTCTGCCTCCCCCATCCCCCGCTCCACCTGCCCGCAGGACCACTCACTGCCTTCAGGGCCCGCTGCAGATTGCCCAGGCAGCCCAGCAGTGCTATGGCGGCCACACCCTCTGCCCGCGCCCTGCAGCATCAACTGCATGATGGGATGTGAGGGCAGAGTCTTGTCTATGCTGCCTGGCTGCCATGTCCTTAGCTGTGCTGCTCCGTGTGGGCCACGCTTGAGGGCGAGTCTCCTTCAGGGGGGCTGCTGGAGAGGAGGGGGTCACAGGGGGAGGCAAGGCTGGGGCAATGGCACATGCGCCCACAGAGAGGGCTCCAAGTGCCACCTCTGGCACCCGTGCCATAGGTTCGCCACCATTGTGATAGACAATGGGATCTCCCCGTACTTGAAAAAAATCTCTCATTTCGAAGGACCCCTTTGCTGGAGAAAGGGCGGCACCATAGAGCAGAAGGGAGAATGAAAGCAAAATGCATCCACGCAGCAGGAGCTTTGCTGTGACTGGATTACAAAAAGGCGGAGAGTAGCAGACAGAGAAGTAAGGTTTAACTGGTAATAGATTGAATGGGGGGAGGGGATGTTGGGCCAGGGAATACGGGGAAAAAAAATGCTCTCTAGGGCCCTCAAAGCTGATGAAGGATGACCCAATCAACAGGAGACAAACTTTGAGAGCCTGGGAGATTAAGCTTAATGTTTTTTGAATGGGCTGAGGACTGCAGTAGGAATCTTCATGTTTTTCTCCCTCTAGATTTCAGTGTGGGTGAGACTTTCATGCTTTTTTTTAATGCTATGTAAAGGAAGTCACAGAAGGTGGCAGCACTTACCCAGCCTTCATTGACTGTAAAAAAAACTAAGCAGGATCTGGATTAAGATCTGGTTAGTATTGGGATGGGGGGGGGGTATCAGAAAAACCTAGACCTGTAGGGGAAATTGAAAAAAACACCCTAGAAGGGTGGCAGTGGCTAGCCACTTGCAAGCAGTTGTCAAGAAGATCACAAAGGTGTCTTCATATAGTCCATAGGAGTAAAGCTCGGCTTGAGAGAGATTTTGTTGATCTAAAGTAGGATCGGGCAGACCTTAAAAATGATTTGGAAGAAATGTTTCTGACCTCATATGAGCTCTTCGTGAAAGCAGCTGGCCTTCCTTCAGGGAACCTGAAGTTACCTTTGCGCTATGAATCACTTAAGTGTCTCTTTAAGTAACTGACACACAGCAGCACACACAAAAGGAGGAGCATCTTTTCTCAGGCTCATGCAGGAACCTGCATAAAAGACATGTGTATAACAAAGAAAGGCTGTGCTGACAAAACAGTACTGACAGTACTGACACTACACATCTTCTTCACGACCTGTTTTCCTTGCTACCTTCTGGGAGGAAGCTTTGTGGTATCCGTAGCAGAACATCCAGATTCAGCCATAGTTTCATTCCATACAGCATTAACCTTGTGAACTCTCCAGCTTCCTCCTTCCGTTATATATTCAAGATGGACAGTATTTAATATTTATTTGTTATGTATATGTAGGGGTGTGGGTCTATACATATGTTGTATATAGGATGTTTAGGTGTGTGTCATGTATGTGTTCACTTTGAGAGCAGGCAACTAAATTTCATTTTTGATGTGTGCTGTTGTACCAACAGTAAAAAATGACAATAAAGGTTATTTTATCTTATCTTATAAACTTCAGGGGGCACAGGTGGGAGGGCATTAAGTTTGATGGAAAGAGTATATTGTGCAAACCTACTTTAAATATGCGTGGTATAATGTGCTGTCTTTGAAAATTCAATTACCATGAAATAACAACATAAAGACAGCACTCATGTCACCAAATTATTCAACATCTACTGAGCTTCAAATGCCAAAGGAATTAAATCAGTAGATGTAAAAGCAGCAGGGG